CTTTATTTCCTCCTTGATTTTCATAGCCTTTTCCCTCCTTCAGAAAGGATGGGGTATTTCTGGATTTCTACTGTTCCGTGTCAGCTCTCCTAGTTATGTTTTCTTTTTAATAAATTGTAAGAAATTACAGACTGATAGAACACATGATAAAAAAAATAGATATTTGTAAAGTACCTCAAAATAGAGCGCCTAACTGAAGGACAACAAAAACCATGAAAACCAAGGAGGCCATAAAGGCGTCCCACAATTGTAGGAACGACATACTATATGGCTCTTAAGCTACACCACACTATATTGAAAAGTTAAGAAGTTTAGAATATACGTTTCATATGAAGTCTTTTCCCCTTACTTTTGAAGCAACCTACTTATACAATATATTGAAACAAGGCTCCCATTGGTGCTGTCGGGTACGTTTTCTGTTTGCTCTCCGAAATCTTTTGAAGGCATATGCAATCTGAATGCCCCTCATGGAAAAAATTCTGCGGATGCCAGTGTTCGTTGTTGGCTTACACTCGTATCTAGGTACATATTGTTAATTTTAGTACCTTCCTACCCACATAAAATTCGCCGCAAATCACAGAAATTGACATACTTTTGAATGGAATATGTCGTATTTTATTGCATAATTAGGTTGAACTTCCAAAAGAAGAATTGACATAGGTACCTCTACCTACCTAGCATACGACAGCGCTTTGATGATAGTTGTTGAGCTATGAGCAAGTCAATATAGAAAAGCTATCAACTTTGACACCCAACCAGTCTGTCATTTGGAAGATGGGGGAGCTTAATTTCTAATAAGATTGTGAAGCTTCAAAATGATATATTGCGTGATCCCTCATTCCGCTTTATTCCAAAAAAATATTCCAGGGTAACACACAGTCGCTATCTTAAGGTTTTCAACTATCGCTTTTACGCTGAAATACCTACGTAATACGTCAATGTCATCATCCCGAATTTCAACTTGCCAGCTTGACCAGTTCGAATTATGAATAGGGTGAGACATTAAAGAAAAACAACAAGTACTAGCAAAAAGGAAAACAAATAAACCCATAAATATCCCGAAAATAATAATGTATATCGATCTATCTACAATTTTGCAAAACAATTAGGTCTCATGAAAAAAAAAAGATCTGGCAGCGTTTCTTTTGGACTTGGATAGGAGAAAGCAACGCTGCCGTTGTTCGATTTTTTCTATCTAGTCATTTTACGGGGGCTGCTCCTAAGTTTCCGTTCGAGGCAACACGTACTATTTTTTTTTTTTTGAGCAAGGTGCATTTTTTTGAAAGCTCTCGATCTTTACACTACGGAAGTTAATTTGTGTCAATCTGTCTGTCAGTCGAAGCTTTTGTTGTCACCTTCTAAATTTATTTTTCACTTTTCGACATGTTTTCTATGTACCTACCTATCGAGTTTTGGTTGAGGAACCCATTTTATCTTTCGGTTTTTGTAACATAATTCAAAGACACTAAAAATTTAACAAGATTTTCACATCCCTACAAAGCACAAATGGTTCCAAACATGTAACAGAGAAGTTATAGTCTCAACAGATATTTTTAAGTCTGAATAGGCAGTCGTGACTCGTAGACACCGCTAGACTGGATATACATGAAATCGATGAAGGAAATACTGTTATTCTTTAGTCACCCATCTATTGCTCTGTAAATTTCCATTTTCGTTATCTCGGACTACAAACGAATGGAAGTTGGTACATTTTTGGTAACTTGAATCTTTGAATTGGACTATGAACTTAAACAAAATCTGAAATATTTTGAGGCCAAATCTGATGTATATAATCAGCCCCTTTTGATTTCTCCGATTACTTCCAGCGACAAATTGCAACACATTCGAAATTGACGCACCCGATTTACACAGGAAACGCGTTTTCATCTAGACCAAAGATAGAAGGTTTTTTGACAATACGTCTTTAAAAAACTAGATTTTGGCACTGTATAATTTCCATATAGCATTGCTATTGCAAGGGCGTTGAATAAAGTTCTAGAGCATTACGCCCTGAGCACTTGCGTAGAGCAACTAGTGAAAAAACGGTCTGCTAGAGCACCGCTATCGCAAAGTCGTTGGATGAAATTCTAGATCGGGGAGCCATAGGCATTTGCCAATATCTTCTAGTGGAAACGAAAGCTCTGTTAGAGCATTGCTATAGCAAAGACGTTACATGCTGTTCTATATCATGGCGCTCTGGGCACTTGCCGAGAACGTCTATTTCAAAAAGGGTCTCTGCCACAGTACCGTTGTTGCAAAGACGTTAAATAAAGTTATAGATTGTGGCCCTGTGGGCACTTGCCTAGAGCGTTTTTTTAAAAAAGGGTCTGCTAGAGCACCGCTACCACAAAGCCGTTGGATGGACTTCTAGATCGTGGAGCCAAAGGTATTTGCCAATATTTTCTAGTGGAAATGAAAGCTCTGTTAGAGCAGTCCTATCGGAAAGACGTCAGATGAAGTTCTAGATCATGGCGCCCTGGGCACTTGCCTAGAGCGTTTATTGAAAAAAGGCTCTGCTAGAGCACCGATATCGCAAAACCATTCGATGAAGTTCTAGATCTTGGAGTCATATGTATTTGCTGATACCTTCTTGTGGAAACGGAAGCTCTGTTGGAGCAGTACTATCACAAAGATGTTAGATGAAGTTATAGATCATGATCCCCTGGGCACTTGCCTATAGCGTTTTTTTAAAAAAGGGTCTGCTAGATCACCGCTATCGCAAAGCCGTTGGATGAAGTTCTAGATCGTGGAGCTATAGCTATTTGCCGATATTTTCTATTGGAACTGAAAGCCCTGCTAGAGCACCGCTATCGCAAAAACGTTGGATGAAGTTCTAGATCATGGCGCCCTGGGCACTAGACGAGAGCCCCTATTTAAAAAGGCGTCTGCTAGAGCACCGCTATCGCAAAGACGTTGTATGAAGTTCTAGATCGCGGAGCCATAGGCATTTGCCAATATCTTCTAGTGGAGACGAAAGCTCTGTTAGAGCATTGCTATCGCAAAGACGTTAGATGCAGTTCTAGATCATGACGCTCTGGGCACTCGCCGAGAACGCCTATTTGAAAAAAGGTCTCTGCCAGTACCGCTATTGTAAAGACGTTAGAAAAGTTCTAGATTGTGGCGCTCTGGGCACTTGCCTAGAGCGTTTTTTTTAAATGCCTACTAGAGCACCGCTATCACAAAGCCGTTGGATGGAGTTTTAGATCGTGGAGCCAGAGGTATTTGCCAATATTTTCTAGTGGAAATAAAAGCTCTGTTAGAGCAGCGCTACTGCAAAGACGTAAGATGGAGTTCTAGATAATTACGCGCTGGGCACTTGCCTAGAGCGTTTTTTGAAAGAAGGGTCTGCTAGATCACCACCATCGCAAATCCGTTGGATGGAGTTCTAGATCGTGAAGCCGTAGGAATTTGCCAATATCTTCTAGTGGAAACGAAAACTCTGTTAGAGCAGTCCTATCGGAAAGACGTTAGATGGAGTTCTAGATCATGACGCCCTGGGTACTTGCCTAGAGCGTTTATTGAAAAAATGCTTTGCTAGAGCACCGATATCGCAAAACCATTGGATGAAGTTCTAGATCGTGGAGTCATAGGTATTTGCTGATACCTTCTTGTGGAAACGAAAGCTCTGTTCTAGCAGTGCTATCACAAAGACGTTAGATGCAGTTATAGATCATGACGCCCTGGGCACATGCATAGAGCGTTTTTTGAAAAAAAGGGTCTGCTAGATCATCGCTATCGCAAAGCCGTTGGATGAAGTTCTAGACCGTGGAGCTATAGGTATTTGCCGATATTTTTTTTTATTGGAACTGAAAATCCTGTTAGAGCACCGGTATCGCAAAAACGTTGGATGAAGTCTTTATAAAAAGGGTCTGTTAGAGGCTATCGCAAATACTTTAGATGAAGTTCTAGATCATGGCGCCCTGGGCACTAGGCTAGAGCCTCTATTTAAAAAGGCGTCTGCTAGAGCACCGCTATCGTAAAGACGTTGTATGAAGTTCTAGATCGTGAAGCCATAGGCATTTGCCAATATCTTCTAGTCGAAACGAAAGCTCTGTTAGAGCAGTGCTATCGCAAAAACATTGGATGAAGTTCTCTGTCATGGCGCCCTGGGCACTTGTCTAGAGCGTTTGTTGAAACAAGGGTCTGTTAGAGGCTATCAGAAAGACTTTAGATGAAGTTCTAGATCATGGCGCCCTGCGCACTTGCCTAGAGCCCCTATTTAAAAAAGCGTCTGCTAGAGCACCGCTATCGCAAGGACGTTTTATGAAGTTCTAGATCGTGGAGCCCTAGACATTTGCCAATATCTTCTAGTCGAAACGACAGCTCTGTTAGAGCAATGCTATCGCGAAAACATTTGATGAAGTTCTCGGTCATGGCGCACTGGGCACTTGCCTAGAGCGTATGTTGAAAAAAGGGTCTGTTAGAGCAGTGCTATCGCAAAGACGTTAGGTGAAGCTATAGAACATGGCGCCCTGGGCACTTGCCTAGAGCCCCTATTTAAAAAAGCGTCTGCTAGAGCACCGCTATCGCAAGGACGTTTTATGAAGTTCTAGATCGTGGAGCCCTAGACATTTGCCAATATCTTCTAGTCGAAACGAAAGCTCTGTTAAAGCAATGCTATCGCGAAAACCTTTGAAGTTCTCGGTCATGGCGCACTGGGCACTTGCCTAGAGCGTATGTTGAAAAAAGGGTCTGTTAGAGCAGTGCTATCGCAAACACGTTAGGTGAAGCTATAGAACATGGCGCCCTGGGCACTTGCCTAGAGCGTTTGTTGAAAAAAGGGTCTGCTGGAGTATTGCTATCGCAAAGCCGTGTTACGAACTTCGAGATCGTGGAGCCATTGATACTTGCCAGGATCTTCTAATGGAAACAAAAACTCTGTAAGGGCAGTGGTATCGAAAAAACGTTGGATGAAGTGGAGATATTGACATTTGTCAATATCTTCTCGAGGAAACGAAAGGTGTTAGAGCAGTGCTATCGCAAAGACGGTGTAAGAGATTCTAGACTAAACGAACTGGGCTATAAGACATTACAGAAATATCCTCGGCTGAGCTCGTCGGCACTCGAAACTCGAATGTTGCAGTTGTTTTGATTTTCTGTCTGAGATTTCAGTGTGGGACTGTGTATAGCTTTACCACGCTAGACTCAGTCTGTTACCCCTCGTGAGTGTAGTTCTATAATAGTGCGTCCGGTAAATTATACACCAACATGGGAGGTAAGTTCATCGATTTTTGTTACCGGCATTTACACGCAGGTCCCTACATGAGCTTTTTATCAATGAATCAAGGTTACGTTGACATTGTAGCATATCTAACCTTTAAAATTTTCATTTTTTTGCAATTCTTTATCTATACGTCTTCATTGGCAAGACCAAGCAAGGTGTGAAGAATTTTGCTTTTCGTTTTTTTTTTTTTTTTTTTGAGAGAAACACGGTTTTTGCTGTTCGTCTAGTACACATATATTTAGTAAACGCAATTTCTAAAACATAGATTAAGTTTATTGCATTCAAGATGTTTAATTTTTGGGAGTGCGAAAAAATTATTAGCGTCAATACATTATAGAGATAACGAGATTCGCAAATCGTTTAGCAATATTTTCACATGTTTGGCCTTTGTATAATTTTTGTTTGTAACGGTGTTGGCACAGTTCACTTTTGGTTTAGTGCGTTTTATGTTTAAATAAAAATTTGATTCTGAAAATACAGTTTCTTAAAATAGATGCTGCATTTTTGTTAGTGATCCAGTGGCAGAGTGAAAGTTATAAAATATCATTGTTTTAACAGAATCAGTATTTTTGTAAAAGGAATGTACTTACTGTTTTTGTATCTTTTTTTTTGTTTTTTGACTTTTGTCTCAGGTACACGTCACAGTTCAGGAGTCTAGTATGTATATATCTTAATTTTTTGATCTGAACATTATTTTCTTTTAAAATTTTGAGAAGAGTTACTAAGGACTTTATTTATTTAAAATGATCCAAAAAAGCTAAACAACTTTGTCCGGAGAGAATAGGACAATTTTTTGTTTTAAAAATTGTTAAAACAAATTGGGAGCGGGTTACCGCCCGGCAATCCCTTGATTTATGTTGAGGCGCATCTGTGATTATAGAAAAAAGAGGCTCCAAGTAGATTGACAATGCATTTCCCATGCAAAGCCGTTATCAATTCATAAAAGATTATGTTCAGCACAAATTAGACCCTATGAGAAAAAAAGAGATCTAGACATTTTAAATATTTTATAGCTAATTCGGCATATTTTTTATATCAGTTTTAAATCGACATGTTCTATAACATCTGTTGTTGTTAATTAAATATGTATAGTTCAGCTGTCGTATAAAATGATAAGAGTCAGTTTCTTTGAAATCTGTGTTACTTTAGAGCACATTTCTTGTTGAATATGATCGCACTATTAAAATCGGACCCATCAGACTAGACATGATGAAGAGAGACATACATGCAATAATGCGGGTCAACTTCCCGTTTATATCTAGTTAAGGCCTACTAATTCAGTGGACGTATTTTCCTGTGTCACTCATACACATCAAATAGTAAATAATTCTTTGAAAATAAACAGAAATATGAATCGGAATTTATGAATGACAGTTGATACTTTTCCACACATTGTAGTAGAATTAGATGATTGTCAAAAATACTAGGGGATAGATAGAAAAATGCCGTCAAGTAGGTTGACTAAGTTCATAAAAGATTAGGAATTTAAGTGGATCACGGCTGTCAAATAGACCCACATAATAATTAGACCCCAGCTCCAACTTATTTGGCAACGTTGCCATCTTAAGAAAAAATATGTTCTGTCCTACTTAAATTCAGTATTGGGAATATTCCAAATATTAAGCGTAAATTTATGGGAAAATTCTTTGCGTCTATACTATTAAATAATATTAATTGAGATATATTACAAAATTTCCAAAAATGGGTTGAAGTCCTGACACATCGAAAAACGAAGTTTGATCGATTTTTTTCATTCATTTTTGCCAGAATATCCAACGCCACTGGATGGATTTTCAGAACCTACAAAGTTTTTTCTTAGTAGTAGCGTTGTATCAAAATTTTATCAAAATTCGAGCGATATTTTGAGGGTTGCAGAAAAGCCAAGACTTATGGACAGACAAATCAGTGACATGATGACGTACATGACATCCAAAAAACATAATACCTCATTTTCAGCATATACTTCTGAAAATACCTTTAGACACAACATTTGAATCTCGACATGGTTTTAAGGAGGCTGAATACACTGTCGTAATTGGTTATGATCATTGTTCACGTAACAAAATAGCCTCTAGAGCGGGAGTGGAAAAAAAGAGGAACTGAATAAGGATCATAAATATTACGAAAGTGCTACTTGATTTATCAAAAATAGCGTCAAACTGGCTAACATATTTTACAAGTTTACCACATTTCAGGATGTAGTGATAAATGTATAGTTAGTAGCACCACCCTGATGTTACTTTGGGAAGGGGGTACTTTTTTGAAAAGGAAAGAAATCAGTCTCATTCCCTTTAGGGAGTGCTTCTTCACCTTACCGATGTCGTAAAACAAAGTTGCATGCGTTATTTTTGGATACTGCGTGTATGCTTTAAGGTTATTTTTAGTTTAACTACCATTAGGATTTATCAGTATTATTTCGGTTTCAAAGCTCTCCTACATTAATTTGTTTGATTTATGCTATGCGCTAGGAAATCAGACGCAGAACTTTATGCTGGGGTTGTGGGTGGAATTTGGAATAAACAGCACCTAAAAAACACAGCCAATTTACCTCACACGCAACGGCACAATTTTGGATCGATTTTTGGTATCTGAATTGCATTTCATACATACTATTTGAATCCTTTATAACTTCAATTGTCTACAATGTTAGAGTTTGCCAAAAGTAGGTGCGTCTAAGATTCTATCGTTATATTTGATAAAACCTACACAACCGCACGTGGCTTGTCAAAGATTTTGACTCAATTTATACTTCCCAGGCCTACTGACGAGGAAGTATTCTAATCGCGAAAAATTTCGAAAATAAGATATTATGTTTTTTGGATGTTATACCGTCAAGCCGGAAACGGTGGATAGGCCAAGTCATAATACAGAGTGAACCAGAAAGACGTACGAATTTCAGAACCGCATTGCTCGTGACAGGCACGCGGGGGCGAGTCACGGGTAGTAGGGATAAGTAGCTTAGTGCTCGGAAATTTAGTCGCCATGGAGCGTTTCAACTGTGAGCAGCATGCGTTTTGTGTTAATGCTTATCACAAACATGGAGATTCGTGCACTATGTGTATTTTAAAAAAATAAAATTCCCATAAGTCTACTTCATTAAAAATGTAAATTATCTTCGCTACGCTTTGTAGTTTCTTCTATGATTTCTTAAAATCCGCTCTACTTTATGGCCTACCCTGTAGTTATCAGTAGGATATAAAAAAATCTAAAACGTATACTTTTCAAATTATAGCCTTTAAAAATATCGGAAAAATCTACACCCCCTGTGATGATCTTTCAGTTCCCATTACTACAAATTTCGGTTTTTTCTTAGCCGAAGTGACGGACAGTGTTATTCTACGTAGTGACACCAAGACAGATAGTAACAACACTTTTATCAATTTATGAATGCATTCATTAAATCCACGATAAATGTTCAAACTGACTTCCTTCAGTAGCAACGCAAGGTTGACGTCCTCTTGAGATCGGGTTATCAGACGGGTGAACCTTCCGTTATTAACAAATTGAGCTGCTTATTTTTTCCGGTAGCTCAGGTAAATTTTCGATTGAGAGACAGCGTTGCATGGGGAATGCAGAGTCAACCTACTTGATGCCATTCTTTTGGTTACGTCTAGAACAGAAGTGACAGCTCATCCTGTTGAGATAAATGTTATGATAGATAATGTTACCCAGAGCTTTTACTATTAATATGATTTATGCTTGTACGTACATTTTGTTCATGAAAGTATTTTTAGAATCATGTTTTGACTCAAAGAAATGCTCTTATTAATATCTCATCAAGAAACTGTTATGTCATCTCATTAATGTGTGTCACCAGATCACTAACCAGCACATTATTGTGAGTGACCTTTAAGATGGGTCATGTTTAATGAAGTTTAATGAATTATATAGTACAGTCAGAATAGTATAGTACCTTATCTAGTTAAGGTATGCTTTCAATGTTACAAGTTGCAGACATATGTGTCGGGAGCATGTTGCGCAACATGTGCCTGCAGCTGGTGTAAGAAGATGAGAGAACTAAACGCGAAAATATTTTAATAGAAATCCAAAGGAAATACTCAGTGATTGCTCACCTTTCACGTAACCAAAGCACTACAACCGATAGCACAGTAAAATGTAGTTAGGTTCACAACGCGCACTGCTTGATTTTAAGAGCGACAGCTATACCCATATGCGTGTAAATGACGCCAGAGGAAGCTTACCCTGGGAACAAGTGCCCAGAGGAATGGAAGGTATAACATAAACATTCCTAATGGCGGTTGTTTTGAGTAACATTAACCAGACTTGTGAACCTTTTAGTAGGAGTTTGTGTGCTATGGGGTTGAACTCGCATGGAAAAATGCGTTTGAAATATTTCGTATGCTTGCACTTGCTTAAATGAAACGCATCTGGCGGGGCATACGTATGCCAGAACGTTTGGCATAAGTCAGCAACATGCACATTTACTTTGATATTTGTAACATTTTGTCAGTAGAGGTGCCAGGCACAATTTATAAACTGAAATGTTCTTTAGAAAATAAACAGTTAATAAAACAATATGTAAATATAAAGTTCTAAAAGTTAAATGTATCGTAAAATATATTGCACGACTATCAAGCTAGGTAACCATGTATAGGGGTGTGTGGCTGAACAGCCCAAATATCCCGTTTTTTTGAGTCGCTTAAACCAAATTCAGGGCCCATTCAGCCCAGAAATGATTCGTTTTTGAGATACTGAAGACACTCCTACTAATGAAAAATTGCCAAAAAGTGCTAGGGTTGATTATCATTGGGCCCGGGTAACTAGTTCTTTATAAAATGTTCACCCCTAATTCAGCACCATGACCCTTCCACGTTGATATTCGAATTTAGCGCTTCAATTTACCTCAATGTACATAGCATCGTTCACATACAGCCACAGATAAAGAAAATTCATTTTCATCACAGTCAAGTTGCAAATGTCGCATAGTTTTGCAATTTTTCACTATATAATAGAATGTGCATGATAGACAGGATTAGAAACAATTGAAATTACTCCAGATTCGGTTTTACCGCTCTAGAATACATGAACTAGAGCTCGTTTGCATTACATTTTGAGAATTTTAATTTTTTGTAATTTTGTAAGCGGGGCATATTACAAAAATGGTTCGGTCGGGAACGTGAGTTCGACTATTCTTGTAATACGATTTTTGGGTCCCTGAAACTGAATCCGGGGTCCATTCATCCCGGAAATGCTTCGTTTTTGAGATACTGGCAAGAATCATACTTATCAAAAAAGGACTAATAAAAAATGTTCAAAAGCTGTTGCGCGTCTATGATCTGGATGGAAGCTTGATTCTTGGCTAAACCGGGTGCGTAGATTCCGAAGTCCGTGTTAATTTAGTGCTAGGATTCACAGGTGGCCTCGGATGGCTGTTCTCTTACCAATTTTTTTACTTCAAACCCAGTCCGATGACGCATCAGAATTTTTTCCCTATCAAACTCGTACTTAGCGCCCCATTCTTATTATTATTATGTAGCCATCAATAATGAAAATGGATTTTTTGCACCTTAAAGTCGCAAAAAACGCATAGTTTTGTAATTTTTCGCGAAATAATTAGATCAGCATGATAAAGGGGATGTATTATAGTGATATCAGCAACTGGAGTAGTGTCTACCAACTTGAACAAAAATCTTCAAAAATTGGAGATTCCTGAAACAATTTCAAATCAAATACAAAAAACTTCGATAAGCATTAAAAAGAAAAGTTGTAGTCTGTTATAATTATTACATACTGATTTTAACGTGAATCAAGGGAAGCGATGCTTAACCAAGCTTTTATGCACTGAGCATGGCCATCTTAGGGGTTTCTCAAACCTTAAATCGCTTATGTCTCGAAAACGGTCAACTTCAAATGAGATTTACTAACAACCTCATTTATTCAGAATGATCCAAAATCTTGGGATAAAAGCTTTGTCCGTAGCGAAAAACTAATTCTTTGCTCTCTGCTAAACATTTTTGAGCAAATTCCACCAGGTTATCGCCTGGTAACTTGCAAAGAAAGGAAGAAAAATGCGAATATGAGGATTTCCCCGCGTCCAAAGGGAGTTTATATCTCTTCTACAAATTCACTAGGTTAATCTTGCACATCAATTTGGAAATATAAACAAACAGAAACCCGACCAAGTCTCAATGATTTCGCAGCTATGGTATCGTCGGTTCTATTTTTGTTTAACAGTGTGCGAAATGATGAAATAAAATATTTAAAACCCGGTAGGCATGTCACTATTATCCTTCTATTCTATACAGTTATTTTTGTATAGCCGATTTTATTGACGAGATGATATTGTAGTTATTTTTAACGAAAATGCGTTTGTAAGACACGGACTCGCATGTCTTGTGTAGTTAGTACATGGATTTTACTTCCCAGGCCTATTCTGTTGTATTGGAATTACGAATAATTTCGGAATTTTTAAATGTTATATAATATGCGCATAAAATTGTCACTCGTCTCGATCGACCTGTCTGTCGTATCAATGATTGAGGAAGTGCAGTATGTCTGGAATAGTTAGTTATCTAAATAAACGTAAACGCTATCTGTACTTTTTTGCCGTCAATATGACGTCGTAAATTACACGAAACCATAAGTACTAAAAACAGGGCGCCATCTTGACATTTCCTGCTACCAGGCACACGAGAACGAGACGTCTTGAAAACTTTTTCGATAAGAATTCAATCATTGATAGTCACTTACTATGTTACGTAAAATCTTCATTGAAATTATTTGAACTGCTCCTTGTTAGTTTACAATTTTAGTTTGATTTTGTGAATATATTTTAAATTAAAAATATGACATGGAATATTAAGTTAGGATGTCATGTTGTTAATTTGGAATAGGTACAGTGAGTGCTTAATGTGCGAATTGTGGGTTCACGCTGCTTGTAGTGGACATGAATCCAGTGTGTATATCTGTGATGAGTGTAAGAGCAGTAACTAAGAACACTAAACTATAAGTTCAGGCTAAATACAAATTTGTGATTATTAGCTTATTTATAGTAGATTATAAGCTATTAAGTTAAACAGATTAATGGCCAAAGACTGCAAAACGGTTACAAAGTTGAGAAATTCATTAATTTTTTAGAAAAAGTATCAACAATTGTCAAAAAAGGTGATTATAATTTGGAATACTCTATTCCAAATTACCTGCACCCTAAGTAAATTTATGATTTCGGAGTTTTTTATTTTGATAAATATTTCGATGGGGTTCCTGGTTTTTGTTTTGTTAGATTGTTTATAATTTTCCAATAATTTAATGCATTTTTATTTTGCAATTTATTTCAAACAACAAACCAGTATTTCAAATATGCTGCAGTTCCTCTACTGACCCTGACCATTGGGATCTCAAAAACATTAAGAGATACGAAGTCGATTAAATGGGGTAAAAGTTATGTATTTAGGTCGCTAACAAAATGCCGCTTAGAAAGTTTATAAATTCAAAGTACATTCGAAAAGTGACGGAGAAAAACGAATTTGCTCAGAATCAGTTTAATTTTTTCCTGACCTTATTAGTAGTAGGATCTTGAAATAATGCTGCACATTAACATTGTCATTTTTCCTCCACTACCAAATGGCATAATTATAATTTCAATATGACGTTTCGTCTCTTGTCCTCCAGATTTTTGCAAAGATTGTATTGTATTGAATTCTGATTCCAAAAATGTATAATACGTCATAATATATTGACATTGTCAAACCTCTGTTATTTCAGAAAAAAGGAATTTCCTAGGTAGGCCTTGAAATGTTCAATCATTTGTTTTTTATATTCATTTTTATTTAAATGTGAAACACCCGGTATAGTTTGAGATGCTTGAGAGGTTTTCGATATATCGTAAGCGCTTTTTTTGAATATACGAAATATCAAAACCCGCAACGAAGGCGTGAGAAGTATAGAGTCAGTCTACTTTACGCCATTTTTTATATATGATGTGATATTTTGCTTTTTCCAGGTTATGCTTGGGTAACGTTAGCTACCACTGATTCCTATTCTTTAGGGGCCTTAGTCTTGGCCCATTCATTGAAACAAGTTGGAACTAAACACCAACTAGCTGTTCTGATAACACCGGGGGTGACCAATCCCATGAGGTAAAGTATATACACGGCGGTACGTAATGAAATCGCCAAAAAGCAATCGAAGAAACACGCCTTATGAAAATGTGGCTTGTTGACATGCACAAGATTTTGGTATTTAAAGTCTAATTAGCAGTCCTCAGTCCGTGCCTCATGCATCCATGACTCTAAGGGCTGTATCGTCAGTCGTTCCTACAATTGTAGGACGCCTTTATGGCCTCCTTGATTTTGATAGTTTTCTACTGTTATAGTACGTGTCAGCGCTCTATTTTTAGGTTATGTTACATTTGCATCAAATTGTTCATGCTTTTGATTTATATCATCTGTTATATAGCCTGAAATTTCCTACAATTCAAAAAGAAATCATAACCTCGCAATAGGAGAGCGCTGAAGCTGACACGGAACAGCAAAAATCTATAAATACCCCAGCCTTTCTGATGGAGAGAAAAGACTATGAAAATCAAGGAGGCCATAAATACGTCCTACAATTGTTTTTTACTGTTCCCTGTCAGCGCTCTATTTTGAGGTTATGTTACAAATGTCTATTTGCATCAAATTGTTCATGCTTTTGATTTATATCATTTGTTATATCGGCCTAAAATCTCCTACAATTCAAAAAGAAAACATAGCCTCACAATAGGAGAGCGCTGAGGCTGAAACAGAACAGCAGAAATCTGGAAATACCCCAGCCTTTCTGAAGCAGATAAAAGACTATGAAAATCAAGGAGGCCATAAATACGTCCTACAATTGTTTTCTACTGTTCCGTGTGAGCACTCTATTTTGAGGTTATGTTACAAATACCATTTGCATCAAATTGTTCATGCTTTTGATTTATATCTGTTATATAGCTTAAAATTTCCTACAATTCAAAAAGAAAACAAAACCATATAATCGGAAATTTAGAAATACCACAGCCTTTCTGAAGGTGAGAAAAGACTTTGAAAATCAAAAAGGCCATGAAGGCGTCCTAGAATTGTAGGCAGGACTGACGATACGGCCCTAAGTCTTCGATGACAATGGATGTTTGCTGTTCGATGTTATGTGCTCATTTTCGTGTGACATTGGAATATCGACATCATTGTCTTCGACTCATTCAATATCTTGGTACTCCCGTGAATTTCCTGCTCGCTTTCGAGCATAGACAAGCAAAGTGACCAAATATGTTCAAATCAGAATCCACAAAATTATGCAGGAGTGAAAAAATAAATATTGCTGACGTAAACATTATCCACCAATTTCAGCACAAAATTACTACCACGTCAAGGACGAAAAAGTGCTTCAAAATCGGTCCAGTGGCGGCGGATAAAAATAACATAATAGTCGCTCAAACGTCATTTTTTGACGTTTCAGAAGATCCTGATCATTTTTCAAAAAATTTAATGGGGAAGAATTAGGGGATGGGGAGGGTATGTTTCAAGTTTTTGACGTTGGTCAACCTACTTGACAACATTTTGTGCTAGTAATTCTTGATTATTTTTTATTGGAAATTATGACAGAAGGATAATTTTTAGGTAGTATTTCTATCGAGCAGACCTTTTTGGATTTTAATATTTCATGCACAGTGAAATGAATGGCTCAAAAATAAATTGTTGCGTAGAATATGGAGGAGAAATGAAATGGATTTTTGACAATACCTTAAACATATTGGTGTTGTGAAATATTCGTAACAACGTCACTTTCTTCGTGAATGTTTATGCTAACCACGGCTGTAGGTTGGCCAAAGTGAGGACTCAATATAGCATATTGCTAATAAGATAACTAGAGTGCCAAAACGTTTGTTCACACTGAATTTAGTTTTGGCTGCTCTTCAGAAAACATAATTAAATATTTTCATGTTTCCAATTATTTTCGATATTAAATTGAATGTTGACAAATCAGACTGCGTCTTCTAAAATGATAACAATTTTAGAACATGTTATAAAAAAACGGCCTGCTTAAAAACTTATCCATGTTTGATAGAAATAAAAACGGTTCTGTGAACCAGTATATCAATCTCTTTATGGTTATCAAAGAAAAAAGGATTCGAGTTGACCAAGGGCGTATTCATCCTACGGCCAACACGAAACGGGAAATTTTCGGACACATATTCATCTGAATTTTCTTTTATATTTTTACGTGTTGAATCTGCCTTTAATTTCCCCTGTTTTCTGTATCACCCTGTATAGGTGAACATTCTAGTTTGCGGTATGATCCTACGTGAAATATGTGTTGCATTTGAAATATACTTTGTCAATTTATATCACCGGAGACCTGAAAATAGAGAGAATAAATAGCGAATGAAAATTAATAATATGTGGATTCTGTCGACACGAGATTTTGAGCCAACTTATAAAGCGTCAAAGCGAAGGTTTTTTTACAAAATATCTCACCATTTTTTTTTCAAGTATGACACCTTAATTTATTGCGTATTTTCGTTTTTAGGAATAAGCTCAAAGAAGTTTTTGACTTAGTTGAAGAAGTAAATATTCTAGATTCAAAGGATGAGACGAACCTCAAACTGTTAAAGAGACCTGAATTGGGCATTACCTTCACAAAACTTCACTGTTGGAGACTTACACAGTACGAGAAATGTGTATTTTTGGATGCAGATACGCTGGTATGTCAAGAGGCATAACATTCTTTTTTTATTCTGTGTGCGAGCCGTGATGTTAGCTCTCGGCAGAAATATATGTGGATCATTCTAATCGATTTTCTTCCAGTTTTGAACATGCTTTGTATCTAATAGGTACTTTTTATTTGCTTTAAATAGAAATACAGGTCACATAATATGTGATCTTGGGTATATTAAAATTTGCAAGCAAACGGATATTTTTTTTATAATAAAATATAAAAAGTTAAAATTCACCAAAAAAACTATGTATGGGTTATCGTACATGTTATCCGAGGCATATTTCTAAAATAGTCACAATTATACATGTTGTCCAAATTTTGTCCCACATCAAAAATATTTTCTTTTTACTTTTTTTATTACACACTCGGATAGGTCTTTTTAGGAGAAGAAGATTGATATAACCAATTTGTGGGTTTTGATTATTAGTTACTTTGCTATTGGGTATTTTATCTCCAAGAAAGTTCGAATCCAATCTAAATTTTCTGATCTAGCAATTCTGTTCTAGGTGTTAGAAAACTGCGACGAGCTTTTCGAGAGAGACGAACTATCGGCAGCTCCAGATGTAGGTTGGCCAGACTGCTTCAATTCCGGAGTGTTTGTATATTGTCCTTCCAATCAAACATTCTCGAATCTGATACAGTTTGCTCTGGATAAGGGTAGTTTCGATGGTACGTTTTTTAAGCTCTGATCATATGCTGACTCATAATTTGTTGATTCAGAATGCAAAAAGTACCCCAAATGATTTAGAAAAGAATTAATCTGAGTTGTCATCAAAAATCGTGATAATTATCATGTTTTTTTTTATTTTCAGGAGGAGATCAAGGACTACTTAACTTGTACTTCTCAGACTGGGCACACAAAGACATTAGGAAGCATTTACCCTTCATTTACAACATGTCATCAACAGCATGTTACTCATATCTCCCTGCCTTCAAACAGTAAGTTCAGACAGGATAATTACGAGGGTTGTCTCAAAAATAAAGTTCGCCTCGCGTCATGCTAGGCGAAATCCGGCAACACTGTCGTGTTTGTCGGCTCCCCCACCACTGATTCCAACAAGAAGCGCCTATTTGCGATGCTCACCGCCATGTGCGAAATTAGACCGGTCATCCGATTTTTGAACGCAAACACGTTCCACCCATAGAAATGAATCGCCTCTTGAATGAAGTATATGAGGAAACGTGTATAAGCATTCAACAAGTTTTCAAATGGTGAAGAGAGTGCTCTGGCGGCCGCATGTACATCCAACGAAACAAGAGACCGTCGATCTCCGAGGATTGTGGCGAAGATTGAGCAAAAAAACTCCCAATGCGCATCCACATGTCTCACAACAAACGAAGGACTTAATCGAGCGATTTGTTTGGGAAGTCATAGACCATCCCCCTTACAGCCCTGGCATACCGTTTCCGAAATTGAAGGAGCACCTAGGCGGTCAACGGTTCGAGACGGACGAGGAGTTGCAAGGAGCAGTTGCCAAGTTTCTAAACGGGCTGGCGGTGGACTTCCTTGAGGTGGGAGTGCAAAAGTGGATTTTAAAAAAATACGTAGAAAAACATGGCGACTATGGAGAAAAATAGCTTAAGGATCAACTTTTCCAATGGTGAATTCGTTTTTTCAAATGAAAAATTTCTTGTGCTTGAAGAAAATGTGGGAACCCTATTTTTAAAACAACCCTCGTATAAAACACTGCATGATAACGTATTTCATACGATATCCATTCTTAAGCATCCCACAAACCGGCGCGAAATAATCGCGGCGAAGTATTCGCAACGAAATTCAGAGCGAAATTCGCAATCTGTATCGCCTGTTTATTCATACCAAAGCGTCTTATTCGCTCCGCGAACGTGAAGGTTTCGACAGGTTGCGTACATTTTATTTTTGCCTTTTGCAATGAGCTCGTCTTCAGAAGAAGAGGAAGCACTTCTATTTCTTGCTTTAGAAGAGGAACAAAATGCACGGTAAGTTATGTTTATTTAACGCCATTTGATAGTTGGGTATGTATTAAGTTTAACGAAGTACATAAAATAAATATTTTCAATTTTGTTTAGGAAACGAAGGAAGTGGGTACATGATATTAACTTGGAACGAAATAAATTTGGGGAATACCATATCTTGATGCCACAACTTCGGCTGGATGAACAGCGCTTTTACGTATATTTTAGAATGACTCCAGAGTGTTTCGATGAAATATTGAACTTGGTGAAAGATGAAATACGAAAATCTGACACAAATTATCGTGAAGCTATTTCGCCAGAAGAACGACTTGCTATTATACTCAGGTAAAAAAATTATATGTATTAAAATTAGTAGGCTTATCGAATACGAAAACTTCAGGGATCGTGAAATAAATATTTTATTGTAATAATTGGACTACATGTTGCCACTAGGATTAAATCTTGCTAAATAATTCGAGGCAGAATTTGCCTCCTCTGTTGGGTATATTATTGGAGTAAACCCAGTGCCGCTTGGGAAGGACGACATTCTACTATCATACATACTTGCAGAATTCTGGGTAGACGCTGAAGACATTTCTTCAATATGTTCAAATTCTTCGTGCGCTATTAATTCGGCTATTTTTAGTTTTATTCGGGCTTGACGTTTTAAGGGAAGTGTTTTCACAGTCTGTGCATGTGCCAAGAAAAGTGAATCAATGGCCTCGTTCTCTTTTTTAGGTTTTTTACCTTCAAAATAATTAATGAGCTGTTGTACAGACGAAGATGGTGGTTCATAGCGTTTTCTGCTCGTTTTATATTTTGGTGTAGTTGCAGTCTGCGGAATGGTGTGCCCTGGAGTAGTCACTGCTGTAGTGTTCAATGAAGAAGGTGGTGCTGTCTGTGTTGCCGAGGCGTTCTATGCATCTTCTGCACCTACATCAGCATTTTCATCTTCTCCATGGCCGCGGTCTTCCAAATTTTCGGTTTCTACATTTCCAGCCCTTTCCTGATATATATTTGAGTTAAATTCGGCAGTCTCATAATGTATGACGTCAATATCTTTCACATTAGACGACGTTTTGGCAAATGCCAAAAAAGGACGGAAAAATTCCATGTAGTCAGCCCACTGCCATTTTTTTATGTTGCCCACTGCTTGGCCGGTCTTTGGTTTGGTAGATTTTATATATTTTGCAAATGTGTATCTGATATTCTTCAACCTTTTTTTTACTTCATCACCTAAAAACGATTTTTTTATAGATTCCTTGCCACTGATGACACCTTCTATACCATTGGGCATAGCTTTCGAGTTGGCTTTACAACAGTGAGTGCAATCGTAACCGAAGTCTGTGAAGCGATATGCAGACATATGGAGCATATATATTTACCAGAACCAACAGAGAATATATGGAAAAAATGTGCTGAAGAATTTGAAAATAGATGGGGATTTCCCAATTGCATTGGCAGCGTGGACGGTAAACATGTAACAATCAAGAGACCTAACAACAGTGGCTCCAATTACTGGTGCTATTTACATAAATATTCAATAGTACTTATGGCCATTGTTGGCCCGGACTATAAATTTATATGTGTTGATATTGGTGGTTTCGGAAAAAATAGTGATGGGGGTATTTTCGAAACCTCAAACATGGGAAAACGATTTGAACAAAATTTAATGAGTGTCCCTGCACCTAGATTTCTCCCTGGGCAAAATGAAATCTGCTCGTACGTCTTAATTGGTGATGAAGCATTTGCTTTAAAACCATACCTTATGAGACCATTTCCTTATAAGCAGACTTTAACAGACGTCAGAAAAGAGAAATACAATGTAAAACTTTGTCGAGCTAGAAGGGTCGTGGAAAATGCGTTTGGTATTTTGTCTCAAAAATGGCGAATATTTTACAGGCCATTAGAAACTAAAGTAGATACTACTATTCTAATTGTACGTACGGCATGTGTTTTACACAATTTTTTACGAAGTAAAAGTGGCGATGACAAATATTTTCAATTCTTAGATCCCCCAGAACCCGTGCTTGGAGCTTTTACTGATATAGCAAATGATCCTCGGCGGGCAGCAAGGCTAGCATTTTCTACTCATGACAAATTCGTAAATTATTTTAATTCTGATATGCCTATGCCCAATATATAGAATGTTCGTTTTCACATTTGTGTAGACTGTAAATTATTTAACAAGTTAATAAAAAATATTAGGTACATACTATTTGTATTTAATTCTTTTCCTATTTCCATCCAAATCTTGTCTTTCTTTCTCACATTCCTGTATTCATCGTTCGACCAATCATACAAACAAGGATACTTTTTCACTATTTCTAACAATAAAGCATCCCACAAACCGGCGCGAAATAATCGCGGCGAAGTATTCGCAACGAAATTCAGAGCGAAATTCGCAATCTGTTTCGCCTGTTTATTCATACCAAAGCGTCTTATTCGCTCCGCGAACGTGAAGGTTTCGACAGGTTGCGTACATTTTATTTTTGCCTTTTGCAATGAGCTCGTCTTTAGAAGAAGGGGACGCACTTCTATTTCTTGCTTTAGAAGAGGAACAAAATGCACGGTAAGTTATGTTTATTTAACGCCATTTGATAGTTGGGTATGTATTAAGTTTAACGAAGTACATAAAACAAATATTTTCAATTTTGTTTAGGAAACGAAGGAAGTGGGTACATGATATTAACTTGGAACGAAATAAATTTGGGGAATACCATACCTTGATGCTACAACTTCGGCTGGATGAACAGCGCTTTTACGTATATTTTAGAATGACTCCAGAGTGTTTCGATGAAATATTGAACTTGGTGAAAGATGAAACACGAAAATCTGACACAAATTATCGTGAAGCTATTTCGCCAGAAGAACGACTTGCTATTACACTCAGGTAAAAAAATTATATGTATTAAAATTAATAGGCTTATCGAATACGAAAGCTTCAGGGATCGTGAAATAAATATTTTATTGTAATAACTGGACTACAGGTTGCCACTAGGATTAAATGTTGCTAAATAATTCGAGGCAGAATTTGCCTCCTCTGTTGGGTATATTATTGGAGTACACCCAGTGCCGCTTGGGAAGGACGACATACTACTATCATACATACTTGCAGAATTCTGGGTAGACGCTGAAGACATTTCTTCAATATGTTCAAATTCTTCGTGCGCTATTAATTCGGCTATTTTTAGTTTTATTCGGGCTTGACGCTTTAAGGGAAGTGTTTTCACAGTCTGTGCATGTGCCAAGAAAAGTGAATCAATGGCCTCGTTCTCTTTTTTAGGTTTTTTACCTTCAAAATAATTAATGAGCTGTTGTACAGTCGAAGATGGTGGTTCATAGCGTTTTCTGCTCGTTTTATATTTTGGTGTAGTTGCAGTCAGCGGAAAGGTGTGCCCTGGAGTAGTTACTGCTGTAGTGTTCAATGAAGAAGGTGGTGCTGTCTGCGCTGCCGAGGCGTTCTGTGCATCTTCTGCATCTACATCAGCATTTTCATCTTCTCCATGGCCGCGGTCTTCCAAATTTTCGGTTTCTACATTTCCAGCCCTTTCCTGATATATATTTGAGTTAAATTCGGCAGTCTCATAATGTATGACGTCAATATCTTTCACATTAGACGACGTTTTGGCAAATGCCAAAAAAGGACGGAAAAATTCCCTGTAGTCAGCCCACTGCCATTTTTTTGTGTTGCCCACTGCTTGGCCGGTCTTTGGTTTGGTAGATTTTATACATTTTGCAAATGTGTCTCTGATATTCTTCCACCTTTTTTTACTTCATCACCTAAAAACGATTTTTTGTATAGATTCCTTGCCACTGGTGACACCTTCTATACCATTGGGCATAGCTTTCGAGTTGGCTTTACAACAGTGAGTGCAATCGTAACCTAAGTCTGTGAAGCGATATGCAGACATATGGAGCATATATATTTACCAGAACCAACAGAGAATATATGGAAAAAATGTGCTGAAGAATTTGAAAATAGATGGGGATTTCCCAATTGCATTGGCAGCGTGGACGGTAAACATGTAACAATCAAGAGACCTAACAACAGTGGCTCCAATTACTGGTGCTATTTACATAAATATTCAATAGTACTTATGGCCATTGTTGGTCCGGTCTATAAATTTATGTGTTGATATTGGTGGTTTCGGAAAAAATAGTGATGGGGGTATTTTCGAAACCTCAAACATGGGAAAACGATTTGAACAAAATTTAATGAGTGTCCCTGCACCTAGATTTCTCCCTGGGCAAAATGAAATCTGCTCGTATGTCTTAATTGGTGATGAAGGATTTGCTTTAAAACCATACCTTATGAGACCATTTCCTTATAAGCAGACTTTAACAGACGTCAGAAAAGAGAAATACAATGTAAGACTTTGTCGAGCTAGAAGGGTCGTGGAAAATGCGTTTGGTATTTTGTCTCAAAAATGGCGAATATTTTACAGGCCATTAGAAACTAAAGTAGATACTACTATTCTAATTGTTTTACACAATTTTTTACGAAGTAAAAGTGGCGATGACAAATATTTTCAATTCTTAGATCCCCCAGAACCCGTGCTTGGAGCTTTTACTGATATAGCAAATGATCCTCGGCGGGCAGCAAGGCTTGCATTTTCTACTCGTGACAAATTCGTAAATTATTTTAATTCTGATATGCCTATGCCCAATATATAGAATGTTCGTTTTCACATTTGTGTAGACTGTAAAATATTTAACAAGTTAATAAAAAATATTAGGTACATACCATTTGTATTTAATTCTTTTCCTATTTCCATCCAAATCTTGTCTTTCTTTCTCACATTCCTGTATTCATCGTTCGACAACTCATACAAACAAGGATACTTTTTCACTATTTCTATCAATAATTCCGTTTTTGCCATTGCGAATTTTTGAAGAACGGCGTCAAAAACGCGGTCAAAGGCGAACTGAAATACGCCGCGATAAAAACGCTGGAACAATCGTATTCGCTTCGCACAAGTCTGAGCCTGTACGTAAACCGCCGCGTTTTAATCTGATCGCGAATTCATCGCCGCGAAATTTTCGCAGCCAAAGCGAATATTTCGCGCCGGTTTGTGGGATGCTTAATTCCGTTTTTGCCATTGCGAATTTTTGAAGAACGGCGTCAAAAACGCGGTCAAAGGCGAACTGAAATACGCCGCGATAAAAACGCTGGAACAATCGCATTCGCTTCGCACAAGTCTGAGCCTGTCCGTAAACCGCCGCATTTTAATCTGATCGCGAATTCATCGCCGCGAAATTTTCGCAGCCAAAGCGAATATTTCGCGCCGGTTTGTGGGATGCTTTATGATGAAGAGCACCCAGGCAACTGACTTCCGAGGAGAACGGATTATTTAAAACGTGTACCCTGCTGACGACTAGACATCGTCAGCCACGCGACACGATTTGTCGTGTCAGCTTTTCGCACCGTGTGCCGAGCTCTGAATTTTATAGAAAATCGCTCAAAATTATAATAATTTTTATGGAGTTGCATTGATGTGTAGTGCTTTGACACCACCGACTCTGTCTGTCCGTCATTCTCTCCATTCCCGATAGCATTGAATATTTATTAAATATTTAAAAAAATATAATATATATAATAATATTTGTAACGACAGATTTTTTAATATTTAATAAATATATTTCTTATAGATTCATAAAACATTCAGTATAGATACTTGTAGTATATATAATTCGTATATGTTTGCGATATTTTTCCATTTATTTAGAAAATATACAGGGTGTCCGCAAAGTTGGGGTTTTCCTATTCAGACCCAACTACGCTTGATATAACAAAGTTGATGTGTGGTGAAGCGTGAGCGAACAAGTAAAAAAGATAAATGAAAAACTACTCACTGTTCAGTTGAATTGAAATTTCAAGTACGGCTCTGTCGTAAAATCCGTATTTACATCGTAGCCGTACGTCGTATAACTGTAAGCTAGCGCTGGCGCTGTTGACGTGATCGAAAGATAGGACAGGACCGGCTTCGGTTTGGTTCAGGTTTAATTGAGTTTGCGGAGCCCAATATCTCGGTTACTGTAGCAATGCTTGATCGTTTGACTAACTTTTAAAAAAGAGGTTTTTAAAAATGGACCACTTATTGATTTTGTTGAAATGTGAGGGGGCTAATTTAGCCATAACTATTTTGTGATTTTATATTATAATTCAAGGGACAAAAACATAGTATTTTCGACTGTTAAAGTTTGGGAACTTCGCGGTTAAACTTAAAAATTTTAAAATACTTACAGCTGATTTGCCCCCTACTACGACAAAAATAATAATTGTAATTGATATATTTAAAAAAAGCAATTTTGATGTATTTCGATCAAGTTGCGATTCTATGACTTTTCATTGGGATGTTATGAATATTATTTTCGTATCCATTTTCAGATAAATCCACCAATCCCAAATCGCAAATAACTGTCACAGTTCAAAGCTAGTTATTTATGGTCTTGTAAATACCTTTATACTCAACTGGCACAATAATGTTTACTAGTCAGATAAATTAAGCTATGTAATTATCGAAAAACTTACCCTTTTCCCTTTTACACAAAAAAAACACTCATATAATGTACCACTTGGAGGTACACAGGAAGCACGCTATCATAGTGAATCTCACAGGCAAAATGGAAGCTGGAAAACGGGTCGGCTGAGGTCAACTTGCCATTATGCCATTGGTCGCTCGAGGTCACACGCACATGCGCCGAAGCCGAAAATATTCAATGAATATTTTCTAAATAATGGGGATTTAATATTTTCCATTGGCTGAAAAGTAAATATTCAATGAGAATTATAAAAGAAAGATTGTATTTAAAATATTCAAAAGATATGCAATAAATATTTAATAAAAATATTATGTTCCAAATATTTATTAAATATTTGTTTAAGACAGCAACTATTTAGGTAAGATAAAAATGTTATTAAATACTGAATAAATATTTCGTGTTATCGGGGATATAGCATTTTTTATATGGACCCTCTAAAATTATTGTCTAGATTCCCCTGTTTTAAGTCTTTTTAATAGCCGCTCTACACAATTGAATAAATTCACGAATAAATTATAAGAAAATTGTGTTGAAATATTAAATTCTAAATTAATACCAAAGCGCTAAGCCAAACTGTCAGGATTATAAATTTAATCTCAAATTACAAAACGTGAACGCGTCAAATAACGAGGAATTCCCCAAAAAGTGGACAAAAAATTAGTACAAGCTCTAATCTGGAAATTTATTCATGAATTTATTGTTGTGAAGAAATTGACAACAAGCGCCTATAAGATGGACTAACTTATGCCGAACATACTTGACACAATTTTTTTATTTTTGTTTGTCAGATTTGGGAGTAATGCGAAAATTGTTCACTTCATCGGGGGTACTAAGCCTTGGTTACAGTATTTCGACATTCAAACAAGGACAGTACATCCATCCTTTGAGCTGCAACACATGAAGGAAGTTCTGCAATATTGGTGGAACATTTTCTGTAATTCCGTCCACCCTAACTTATCAAACGAAATGGTGAGTTTCAAAGCAGTCAAATACCTTTGAAAATTTGTTGGATGAAAATTACCAGTTCACGAATATTCAAAGATATGTGAACGATTCCCAATAAAGAGAAAGGATCGGGTTCATTACATGGTTTTTTGGCCTTGAAAATAGGTTAATCGTGTCTATCAAATTTTCGTATTCAAATATTTTAGAACACGTGCATTTAAAATTTTCATCGACATTTTCCTTTTTGTATTAGTATCTGATTGTTTTTTCACAGCCCAAAGCTCGCAATTTTGGCATTTCTGTCCAAAATTCACCCATTTTCACATACTTAATTTACTTCTTTTTATGAGCGCATGATCGCAACACTTTCTATTTAATTTTTGGATGCGTTTTGTATCTTGTATGCGATCATATAAGAATAATTAGTTAAATATTATTTGCAATTTTTAAAGATTGCAAAAATGATCAATTACTGAAATGAAAAGAACAAATATTCACGATAATTTAAAATACTTATTCTGAAATATTTAAATGCGAAAGTTTCATAGTTGCGATCAACTTGAAATGAACTCGTATTTTATAACTGACAAAGTCGCTTATGGATCATAATCCTGCGGGAAAAAGCTTAAAATGTTCACCCTTTTCCTCAGACTTGGGAGCCATTTTGAAAATACATATACCGGGTGTTTCAAGATTCCAATGGTGATATCGAATTTGAAACACCCGGTATATAAATAGTTATCAGATTATGATGTTTATTGGATTCAATAGATTTGATTGAATCATTGGCACGCATATTCAGGATTCAAATATTGAAAGTAAGGTGAGTTTTTTGTGTGATGACTAATAACGTGCTTACAAATCAAACTTTTATTACGTTTGATTCATTGTACATAATCTTTTTGTTTTGATATCAGTTTTATTATTCAAGTATTGTGGCAAAACTGACTGTCAAAATTGAATTTACACTTAAGAAGTATTTTTGACTCCAAAACTTCTTGTATAGTTCTCGATTCGCACTAGATAAAGGAGAGAAAGTGTCTATGACATTAAGGTGGCGCGTCCCTTTTTCAGATTTTTTTCAACTACCTGTTTGCACCAGTATTCTAAATCCTTTTCATCTGATAATGTCATGGTGTGTATAGAGATGACTAAAAAACAATGTTTTCATTTTTTTGTCAAAAAATGCATTTTTTAAGCATTCTTTCTTCACTCGGAGCTTCTTAACAAATATAAGTACAGATCTGAAATTGTGTGTGAATATTCCTCTTTTATGAAAGAATGAAACAAGTTATTACTTTTGCTCTTATCGCCATTCCTTTTCGAAAAATCTTTGATTTTCTTGAAGCCTCGTCTCGCAGCAAGTTTAGTTTTCAAAAAAAGCAAAGATTTTTCGAAGAGAAAAAGTTATAAGAATAAAAGCAATCACTTGTTTCATTCATCCATACAAGTGGAATATTCACGTACAATTTTACAGCTGTACTAATATTTGTTAACAAGTTAGGATCGAAGAAAGAATCCACAATCAAATGCACAAAAAATGCATTTTATGACAAAACAATATTAAAAACGATGTTTTTAAGTCATCGCTATACACATCATGAAGTAATCTGATGAAAAGGATTTAGAATATTGTTGCCAACAAGTAGTAGCGAAAAAAAGGGACATGAGGCGTTAAGGGTCGAATTCGAAGTTGCTTGAACCCTCCTTATTGCAGGGACGCCTTATTCGGTTTGTCACTCGACTGTTATAGAATAGTTGTCGAACATCCAAGGCGGAATTTTTCTGTCTAGGACCTCATTTAAATACCTCTGGTTAAATATACTCAAATGGTTGATTGATGCAGAATGTATTTTCTGAAGACGTACTAACCTAAATGGATAAGCTCCTGCATCCCTCAAAAAAATAGTGGAATAAGAAGTTAACTACAAACAAGACCTAGAGCAGTGGTCGCCAACCCATCGATCGCGAGCTACCGGTAGCTCGCAAAGGCAATTTTGGTGGCTCACAACATATTTTAAAAAGGTGTAATAATCATAAAAGCTTTCGTAAATTTTGTAAATTCTCATAATAAACACAAGCAGTGTCAACACTGCGGTGAGCGATCTTTTCGGGAACGATCTCGATTACTTTGAACGGAATAAATACGCAAGACGCGGCGACAGTGCGCCCAGTTTAAAAATAAACGGCACAAAGTCCAGCGGTTCGGTTAGAGTTGGCTCGCAATTAAAAACATTATGAGCAGTAGTCAAAAGATGAAAACATACCATTTCCATTCGCAATGAGAAGAACAATATTTCTTTACTGAAGTTAAAGGTAAAAATGTACGTTTGTTATGTAATACATCTGTTTGCATTGCTAACAAAGGGAATATCTAGACGCACTATAAAACTATACATTCGAATTTTGAAAAACCGTTCCCATTGAGTTCTGCAACCAGAACGGAAAAACTGAAACAATTAAAAAATCAGTTAATTGGACAACATACAATGTTTTTAAAAACAATCGACAAAGGTAAGGCTGCAACTGAAGCATCATACCGGGTGTCCCAGATAATTACACAAAAGGAAAAACCTTATGAAGACGGGGAAATGATAAAACAGACGTTTTTAGAAGCTGCAGATTCATTATTTGCCAACTTTAGAAATAAAGTCGAGATAGTGTCTGCTATAAAATCTATGCAACTATCTGCTAATACAGTGATGAGACGAGTAGAAGTACTGAGCAATGATATAGTTTTACAGTTAAGAAATGACTTCGATAACTATGCTTATTTTTCACTGCAGCTGGATGAATCCACAGATGTCGTTGACACCTCTCAGATGGCCGCGTTCGTCAGGCTGGTTTTTAGTGATTTTACGATTAAAGATCTTTTGAAGGCCAGACTACTTGGCAGAACTTGTTTTCTTCTTTTAAAAATATTCTTCCTTCTGAGAAAATTCCAATATCGAATATGGTAGGCTTGACATCCGATGGCGCTCCAGCTGTGGTGGGTTGTGATAAGGGTCTCGTGGGGTTATGTCGCAAAGATGGAAGTTTTCCGCACGTTCTCTGTTACCATCAGCAAGCATTATGTGGAGATTTTCTAAAACTAAACAACGTTATGAAATTGGTAGTAAAACTTGTGAACAAGATTAGAGTTCAAGCGTTACAAAGAAGATTATTCTAAACTTGGCCGATGAAATTGACTCTCAATACGGGGAACTACTTCTTCACTCTGATGTCCGATGCTTAAGTAGGGGACAAGTGCTGAAACGTTTTAATGATATTATATCTGCAATAGTTCAAATTTCCAAACAACGTAATGAACCGATTTCGCAACTGGGAAATTCAATATGACCTAGAGATTTTTGTTTTCTTGTGGATATTACAGAAAAATTAAATGAACCTCATTTGCAGCTTCAGGGGAGAGACAAAGAACCAGCAGAAATGATTTCTGATATAAAAGCGTTTATCAAAAAGCTTGAGTTTTGGAAACAAAACTTAATCTATGGCGATACGAGGCATTTACCTGTTCTTTCAGAAAAGATATCTCAAAGTCCATTAGAACCATATGACAATAAATATCATGTAGAAATAGTCTCTTACTTGAAGGTTAACGTCAAAAATCGTTTCAAGGATTTCAACGAAATTGCTCTCTTGGCGCATTTGCAACAGTTTGCAACTTCTGTTACGCATAATTATAGCGAAGACATCGCTGCGACAGAAATGGAAGTGATTGCGTTTCAAAATGATTTAGCTTTGAAATCATTAGTCTCAAATACAAAATGTATCTAGCATCCAGTAAGTAAAGATAAATATTCAGTTTTATGTCGTGTTGCCTTGAAAGTGAAAGCGTTATTTAGTTCAACCTATTTGTGTGAATCTTCTTTTTCAAATACGAAGTTTATTAAAAACAAATACCGTAATCAACTTACAGGTGAACACTTGGATAATATTATTCGAATGACAGTATCAAATTATACTCCAAACATTAAAAAAATTGTTAGTGAGTCTGAGTGTCAGGCTTCTCACTGAACACGCATTTTTTACCTGGATATGTTTTTGTTTCAAATAGTGCGTTGCTTTTTTATTATTAGTTACCTTTATTAAATCGTATGAGACATCCCATTGTAGCTGAACGAAAAAATTTGTTTGTTTTTCAAACACTTACGATTGGTAGGAATGGATGTAGTTATGAAGTATGTATTAGTTATAAGTTTATTAGTATGTATCAGTATTAGTAAAATAAACACATGTACTCGTATGTCTCATACAACTGTGTATAATTTGATTTAAGTTGGCTTACTTTGCTTACGACTAGGTAGCTCACTGTTTATTCCAAAATCATCAAAGTAGCCCAACACATTGAAAAAGTTGACGACCACTGACCTAGAGGGTCTCAGATCTGATGCGGTTGCATGGCAGCGCGGTTAAATGAGGTGTTGCCGAGTTGTGCAAAAAGTCTTATAACTGATATAGTTGGAAAAGTGATAGAAAATGTTCAACAGCTGCCAAATATATTTAACATTTCTCTTGTCACTCTTGCGCGTCAAGACTGCCAAGACAAATAAGACATCCCCACGAAAAGGAGGTATCAAGAGAAAGAACGCATCTGCGTTTGACCCTAACTTAGGACAGCTATTTACTTGGAAAAAAAATAAAATGTTGACAACCAGTTGATGCTTGTTCGTCTGGGATTGTAAGGTTGTTCCACCTTAAACTTCATTGTTTAAGTCTTTGATGGTACCTATTTTCACAAATAATTTAGAAGAATCGCTATCGTAATCATATTGCAATATACCTGGTCTAACAAAATTATCGGAACAGCTGTGTTTTTCCAGGAAGGTTATTTTTGAAAAAAGTCAAAGTCTGATAAATAATATCTGAACAAAAAGTTCATAATTGTAACTTTGGATGTGACGTTGAGCCTCACTTTCAAGTTTATTTCAAGGTCAGTCTTTGTTTATTAAGAGACGGGCAATCTTAAGAACGTAAAATGTCAGAACATGTATTAATCTCTAAGATCAAGGTCATCTTTAAAGGTCAAATATTTGAGACTAGTGCAAATTCCTAAAAGCTTAGCAGGATTATTGATCGAAAAAGTTATTAAGGACAGGTCCTGAGTGACTTTCAACAGCGATTTCAATGGTGACCTTGGATTCAACCTTGAGCCTCACAAAGTCATTTCAAGGTCATTTTTTTATTTAAGTGGGAACCCCTCTCTTTGACACCGACAATGAAAAGTATTATGATCTAATACGTTTTCATGCACTATAATGACCCTGAACGTGAGGATCAACGTCAAATCCAATGCTTGATGAAAGTTACTAAAAATCTAAGTTTGTTTTTTATCATTATTCCTGCTGAATTTTCCCTAGCCTCACACGTTTGATCTTTGGAGATGACCTTGATCTTATATATTTTAATACATATTCGGAAGTAGAATTTTCAATTTTTTCGACTGGCGGTTTTCTATTTTAAAAAATTGACCTTGAAATAACCTTGAACGTGGGGCTCAAGTTCAGATCCAGGTCAAAATTTAATAACACAAAGAAATGAAAATACGTAAGAAATAAGTAAAGTAAAGTTACTGAAATTACATGAGGTTTGAGGTATCTGTGTGGGCTGCTCCTACAAAAATTGGTACAACCTAAGTTAAAAATGACAAAAACCGAGTATTAGTAACAATTGGTGCTTAGTATATGGTACCGTTATAATGAAGAATCAAATCAAATACCGTCCACACTGATTTGGAACAACGTTATAACTTCACACGAGAATAAAAATTGCACCGTTGATATACATATGTATATTATGCACTTTTCCTGTAATCGAAGCACAATGCATGATGCAGCACTTTCTGTTTTGTATTATGAGTTTTAATCAGCATTTTTGTTTGCTTAATTATCTTAAGTTTCTAACTCTCTGTTTTTTTCTTTTTTGCATGCTTTTTGTTCAGAGCAATACCAGCACAAGCACTGGCTATGGTAACTTCCCTCAGAATATCACTCACACTTCCTACTATTACCAACATGAATCCCAAAATACCTACGTTGCGGATGACTATAAAAATGTATGGGATCCATGGGAAGAATATTTAGAAAAAATGTCACATGATCAACCATCTCATAACGAAACTCAAACTAGCCATTATCATAGCTCAGGTCATAATCATCAAGATCAGTATCAGTCAAATGAAGACCAGTTTCATTCTGATGATCATTACCATTTAAACGAAGTCGAGAATCATCCATATCAAGAATCAACTCATCATCAAGAGCAAGCAAATATTTCGCTTTTTGAATCTCACAATACAAACACGGAGTTTGCTCATCATACTAACGATCATGAAAAATACTCTTCATCCCCTACGTATAGTCAATCGCAACCCAGTTATCCAACAGTTCATTATGATCCTCCCTCTTGTCCTAATCAAGAACCTCCTATGACTGAACCCCCACCTCCTTTACCTTCCAATGAGTCAAATGAGTGTGTTGCAACCATGGTTGTTTCGAATGAGACTAGCTTGCACAATAGTCATGAAGATAAGCAAACTGATGATGTAAGTATTTTATAGAGTTGAACTAAATTCACAGCGTACAGTGTTCATAAAATTGGGACTTTCCTTTGCACATCTTAGGGTTATTGTAACAGTAAGCAGATGATACATATGAAAAGTGTCCCCAAAGGTTTTCAAATCTGGTTCAATCCAACCTAAGGTACATGACATAAAATCATCCTAGCCAATTTTCCAGGACGATAGATCGCTCCTAGGGAACCTAGCTTCAAAAACGTGTTTTTTCGAAAATATTATTCTATGGGCGCAATTTTGCTTAGAGAAATTCCAAATCTGTAGATTTTTGGATCTTATAGGTTTGGAAAAAAAATGTTTAATCTGTTTCGAGTTTTTTGGTTAGGTAATAACAATTTCGCAAACCTAAAATCCACAAATACATACAACGTATCAGTGCTTCGCTCTTTTTAGATCCACTAACATAATCATGAATTTTTGCCCGGAAAATCGCCAAAAATCGGAAAAGCCGCATTTTCTTTGATTTTCCTCATTTTTTGACATCAGCTCAAAAAGTCAACCTACCTATGCATTTTTGTGCTTTCTTCCAGATTCCATGATCAAAATTGTGATTTGTTTCCCTGAAAATTGCGAACATTGAAAAAACCGGATTTTCGCGTATCTTCTTCAGTTTTTAACGTTTCTTGTCAGGGAGGGAATACTAGGCTGACATAGTTACCACTGTATATATGTGTTTTTGTACTTGTCCGGAAAATCGCCAAAGATCGGAAAAATCGTTTTTTCACCGATTTTTTCAATTTTAGACATATTCAAGGTAGGATATCATATGTTGGTTAACTCAAAAACTCAATGCATATATGTATTTTAGTGCATTCTTGTTTCGTTGCTAAAGTTGTGATTTGATGCAGGGAAAATTCCGTAAAATGGACAAAATTGCTTTTCGCTGATTTTTCCTATTTTTGTAATTTTATATCGGAAAAGAAATACTTTGCTGACACAATAATACACTGTATGAATTTATGTTTTAGGTCCCTTTCAGATCCGTTATCAAAATAATGATTTCTTGTTCGAAAAATCGAAAAATGCTGAATATCCGCGTTTTCACAGATTTAGTTCAATTTCTGACATTTTTAGAGTAAGATATCATAACTTATCTGTCAAAAAAACCCAAAATTGCAAAAATTGGGAAAACCTCATTTTTGCAAATGTTCCTCATTTTTTAACGTTTTAGGTAGAATAGAAAGAATACTTGGCAAACACGATAGCCCACTGTATAATTGTGTTTTTACATCCTTTTCATTTCCGTTATCAAAATCGTAATCACTTGTGCAGAAAATCGCAAAAATTCTGAAGAACTGCATGTTCACGAAAATCCGGTTTTTCCTATTTTCGCTATTGTCCGGGAAACAACTCGCAATTTTGACTATGTAACCTGGAAGAATGCACAAAAATACATATGTGGATTGAGTTTTTGAGCTAGCCAACTTATTATGGTATCCTACTTTTAAAATTTCAATAATTCAGGAAAATCGGTGAAAATGCGGTTTTTCCTATTTTCCCGGCAAAAATTCATCGATTTGTTAATGGTTCTGAGAAAAAAGCAAGAAATTACTGATATAAAGTTTAAGAAAACTAACAAATTTTTTTCAATCCTATAAGTTTCACAAATCAATAAAAAAAATCACACTATTGTTGACTGTAACAATGCTGCTTTGGTAATTTTTTCAATTTTTGTAGCAAACTTGCGCACGTAAAAAATATTTTCACAATGAGGTTAGAGGCCCCCTAGGGGCGGGTCTATCAATCTGAAAAATTGACCATTTTGATTTCATTTCACCCTTTCAGTTGCATTGAACCAGATTTGGATACCTTCAGGTTCACTTTTCATATGCAGTTTCACCTATAGGTTTCCAGGTTTTACGTTCAAATGTTCTGGAGCATATGTTATATTTTTATTTTATGATTGTTCTTTAAAACTTTTGGCGTTCTGACCAAAATTTACCCATTTTCGAATATCTAGTATTTTTATGCAAGCGCATGGTTGATATCTCGTTCTAATTGTGTATTGATTTGTTTCAACCTTTGGTTTTATTGTTTTACAGCTTATTAGCTTTGTTATTCCGAACGTTGTTTTCTGTGAAAAGAAAGTCTCAGCTTTTAGAATACCCTGTATAGAATACTACATGGCAACGTAACTCCCTAAAAACGCCGAATTTCTATGGCCTCAAAAAAACGACACGCGGTTCAATTGTTCCGCGTGGCACGCATGTTAATATTTTATTCACCTGGAGCATCTTGATTACATCTTCCACAAAACAATGGACTTGTTTATAAGACAGAAACAAATACATTCTTGGCAACGCCTTTTTTGTATGGTCCGAGCGATACTAGAAAAGACATGCCTAGCCATGAAAAAAACAATTGATACGCACAAGCATAATGTCAAACAGTGGCATGTGTTCTTACCTTACTTGCAAAATTCGACTTAGTTTTGAGAATCACTTTCCAATTTATTAAGTGTATGAAAAATTATTTAGAAAAGTTCATTTACATGGAAAAAACGCTACAAGCAGCTTTGACTAGATTTGCACAAGATTCATGATTGCCAACATTACAGACTAATAAAGATGTTACTTGGTGTTCCCCTCAGTAAACGTCAAAACGTGAAATAGGGTTTATTATATGCTTGTGCGTTTCAATTGTTTCTTTTTTCATGGCAAGGTGGATTTCTTTTTTAGTGTCTCTCGTAATGATCTAGTCGTATATAAGGGTAATACCTAATATCTTTTAGAGTGGCTTTGCCGGGGCCTTTGCCAAGTTGACCCTCGGCGTAGCAAGGACCCCAGAGCAAGCTGCTTTGGATGACCACTTGCGAAGACAAGGCTGGGAAGTTGGAAACATCGACTACTTGGGAAGAGATTCTTTCGACAACATTTGGAGCAAGATCTGCGAAACGCTCGCTGAAGCCCCGTCTGAGCCTCAGAAACCAAAAGGTGTGCTCAAAGCCTCCCTTAGTAACTGATAGCTCAATGCTTGTTGCGGTAGAATGTACCTTTTCTGCTTTTTAGTTGAGTCAGTGGATAATTGACAGTTTCATATGGACAATTGTATTCCCGTTCAAAAATGTATGTATGCATTTTTGGACTTGATATATCCGTGCCTCAGAATAAAATGGCTACGTCTTGGATGCATGAAGAATACAAAAAATTATACAAGGTTCTACGCAAATATTAGACATACATATTTCACACATATATTTCTCCTTAAGACTTACAATATTTATATAATATTTTCGATACCCGTGTCCAGCGCAATGAAACTAGGATCTAAACCTATAAAAAATTTCTTCTTGAATTTATTCAGATGGATTTCTTTAAGGTCATCCTGATTATGTTTATTTTACATCAATGGACAAATTCGTAGACTGTCTGTCAGTACAAAGTGCTGCCAACCACACAAATTCTTGCTAGAAACTTTATGACCTATGGCTAGTATGGTTTTGATTTTGAGGCGAATTTCATAAACAGAAGCCATATTGTCGAATACTGAAGTTCTATCATAGTTCTATACTTTCAATATGAAGGCAAAGATTAGAACAAGTTCTAAATTCATGGATTTTTTTGACGTCAAGTTGCTGTTTTACACTTTAGAAATTTGGTAATTCAATGAGAAATCCGTGGATTTGTTGTCACTGTGAAACGGGGCTAAGAGGGGCCAACTTGTGTTGACCTAATTGGCTAAAGGATTGCCATCTTATTGTGAATATTTTTCCACTGACTGGCATTACTTAACATTTCTATATTATTTTGTAGTAGCAAAATGCTTGTGCCTGTGCATTTTTTGAGATATCTTCTAATACGAGTGTATTGTTTGACAATCTAGAACCGTCACCTCCTAAACCTGAACCGAATGACAAGATTGAGAAGGAAGCAGGTCAGTTAGCAAAAAATGCCAATAACAGCAGTAGAATAAACAAGCCTGTCAAGTTAAAATAATATGGATTCATTTCATTTTGGAAGTTAATTTTGAGAATTGATAAGGATACAAATGAAATGAGTCTACTCTGTGTTATCTTGCAGCTATTAATATCTATGCAGATTTTATGGTTGTTTATAATAAAGCGTTTTTTAAGTCTACATCCTTATTAACAACCCTATTTTTCCCCCGCATAACATGCCGTAATTTTTGGAATCGCTACAGTGTATTGAGACAAGCAAAACCTATAGTCTTGGGAGAAATAATCTCCCCCACAAAAACACCTGCATAAGTACAACTAAACATTACGTTCCTTCGATATAATCTCCCCAACATGCTCTGCACTATGCCTAACAAGTATATCCCAGCTTAGCAAATGTTTGCGGTTTTATTATACTAGAGCAGCTGTAGAGTGGATTTGGATTTTTTACTAATACCTAATGATCCGATTTTCGAAACTCATCGAGCATTCTTTATTCAAAGAACAAACGCCTCAACCTGAACCACCAAAACAAGAAGCACCAGTTACGGAAGCTCCAAAAGCAACTGAAGCACCAGGTGAAGTTCCTGTGTGCGCTGTCCATCCTCCTACACCAGTAGAAGAGCCAGTATGTGCATTGCCTTCAAAACAAGACCCTGTATGTTCTATTCCCACTCCCAAACCTGCAGAATCTGGTCTAGCTGATGCACCTGCTTGTCCAGTCTCGGCCAAACCCGAACCTCCTGCTACTGTTTGCCCTGGACCTGAAAGCGTTCCGCAATCTTCTGAAGGGCCTGCACTAGCTACGGCCTTACCTGCTACAGACGCCCCAGCTTGTCCTATTCCTTCTACCGTGACGGAAAAACCTCTTGCGATCTGTCCAGCTCCTCCAACTGCTAGTCAGCCCGCAGTTCTCCAGAGTCCCGCACCAGCTTCAGCGCCTCAGATACCTGCAGAAGTTCCAGTTCCGGAAAGTCCTGTACCTGCTTCAACTCCTCAAAGCCCCACAGAAACTTCAGTAGCTAAAACTACCGTAGAAGCTCCAGTGCCCGCTCCGACTCCTCAAAGCCCTGCGCCTGCTTCAGTTCCTGAGGGTCCTCCACCAGTTTCAATCCCTCAAAGTCCTGCACCAGTTTCAACTCCTCAAAGTCCCGCACCAGCTTCAATCCCTCAAAGTCCTGAACTAGTTTCAACTCCTCAAACACCCAAACCAACTTCAATCCCTCAAAGTCCTGAACTAGTTTCTACTCCCCAAAGTCCCGCACCAGCTTCAATCCCTCAAAGTCCTGCACCAGCTTCAATCCCTCAAAGTCCTGAACCAGTTTCAACTCCTCAAAGTCCCGCACCAGCTTCAATCCCTCAAAGTCCTACACCAGCTGCAGTCCCTGAAACTCCCGCATCAGCTTCAATTCCTCAAAGTCCTGAACTAGTTTCAACTCCTCAAAGTCCCTCACCAGATTCAATCCCTCAAAGTCCTGCACCAGCTGCAGTCCCGGAAACTCCCGCACTAGCCTCAGTCCCTGAAAGTCTTGCATCAGTTCCGCAAGGTCCTGCGGCAGTTTCAACTATTCAAAGTCCCGCACCAGCTCCAATCCCTCAAAGTCCTACCCCAGCATCAGTCCCTGAAAGTCCTTTACCAGCCTCAGTTCCTCAAAGTCCAGCCCCGGCTTCAGAACCTCAAACTACTTCAGCAGCTCCAGTTCTGGAAAGCCCAACACCAACTCCAAAAAGTCCAGTCCCAGCTTCGTGTCCCGCACCAGTTACAGTACCACAGAGTCCCGCACCAGCTTCTACTCCTCAGAGACCTACTCCAGCTTCAGTTCCTGAAAGTTCCGCGCCAGCGTTAGTGTCGGAAAGTCCCGCACCAGCTTTAGTTTCTCAAGCTCCCGCAGCAGCACAAAGTCCTAAATCAGCTTCAACCCCTCAAAGTGTTGCTCCAGCCTCAGGCCCACAAAGTCCCGTACCAACTGCACAAAAGCCAGAGAAAGACTGTAAAAAACCTACGGAGCCTCCTAAAGAAGGATCTGCTGTAGCAGGAAAGCCGGAAACTCCCAAAGAACTATCTAAAGATGAAAAACCGTCTGAGCAAGCTTCAAGTGAAACTTCAGGTCCCACGCCACCACCACGTAAAGGTAGTGGTCCCAAGAAAGCTGGTGGAAAGGGAAAGAAGTAAAATAATCCATAATGTTTTTGAATTATCATTCTATGATAAAATACTGCTTTGGAGTGTCTTTATTTACGAGTAATTTAAGTTGAACTACTAAACTATATTTAAGTAGATCTTGGTCTTGACCCCAATAAATGGCAGAATATGGTTTTACTTGCAACTTTATTTAACCCTCGTCTAGAAAAATAAGTTAGGTGCACGGGATTCATAAGAAGCATGATATTTTGCATAAGAAACTTAATAATAGTCTATATTTCCTATTGTACAGTAACGTTACAGAAATTGTATAGCCACTACAAAATGAAATGTCGCGTAAATATCACCAGTATACGAGTAGTAGTTTACCTCTGATCTTTCTTTCTTTATAATGGTGACGTATCTTACGAGGGTGGTCCGATAAGTACTTAGCCTCACCGGCCGATGACGCCACTATCGCAAGAGAAATTTACTACCGGGTAGAACATTCTCGTAGCCGGCTGCTGTCAAAATTTTAGCCGAATCGGACTCGTAGTTTTGTTATGACCGCGTGCGGAAGCGGACGAATCTTGTTTTTGGAAGGGAAATCGCGCAGCGAAATGAAAGAGCGCTTGCGTACGGTGACTCTTGTCCTTCGATGGCGACCGTCAGAAATTGGTTTAACGAGTTTCAACGTGGCCGTGTGTCGGTCATAACCGTCGTGAAGCATTGGGCATGATAAAGCTGTCTGCGCGATGGGTACCGCGTTTGCTCACTCTGGACAATAGGCGCAACCGTGAGACCACTTCAGAGCAGTCTTTAACGTTGTTTAAGCGCAATCCAAAGGAGTTTCTGCCTCGTTTCGTGGCCGTCGACAAAACATGGATCCACTGGTACACACCAGAGACCAAGGAACAGTCAAAACATTGGACTTCAGCCGGCGAACGTGCTCCGAGGAAGGCGAATACTGTCCGATCGGCCGGAAAGGTGACTGTTAGCGTGTTCTGATTCACATGGTGTGATCTACATCGACTACCTGGAGAAGGGCAAAACGGTCACAGGGCTCTACTATGCCGAATTATTGGGCCGATTCAACGCCGAATTGCTGAAAAAATGTCCCCATTTGACGAAAAAGAAATGTTCTTACACCAAGACAACGCACCGGCTCGCAGCTCCGCCACGGCTAAATTGGTCGATTTAGGCTACGAACTGCTGCCCCATCCACAGTATTTTCCAGATTTGGCCCCGTGCGACTTCTTTTTGTTTCCAAACTTGAAAAAGTCACTCGCCGGGCAGAAATTTGAATCGAATGAGGGGGTTATCGCCGCCACGGAGGCCTACTTTGCATACCTCCAGAAAATTATTTTTCAGGCGGATTAAAGAAGTTTGAGTGTCGCTGGGTCAAATGTATCGATCTGAAAGGAGACTGTGTTGAGAAATAAATTGCTACTTTTCCAAAATTGTTGTATTTGTTTTGTAGGCTAAGTACTTATCGGACCGCCCTCGTAAAACAGCTACCATCTATGGTGTAAGGCTCTGACTGTATTAGAAATGACATAATGGTTGTTGTACATTTACATGAACTGTTTGTTTTTAATTTGATACACACACGTAAATAAGGCTTTTTTCTGTGGAAGATAACCTATGTATGGATAATTAGTATTGACTGTTCGAGTGTCATAAGCAGTTTGCACCTCAAGCTCGAATAAATTTTTATTTTTGAAAAAATAGATATAGTCATGGTTTTTTAGTTTTATACACTCCCTTCAAGTTTCATTAGAATTTAGTTCCTTTACCACACGTACTGCTGTTTTTTGAGCTTTATGGAAATGTTTAAATGATCATATCAAAATGTCACTGCGAAATTGGAAAAAAATTGGTATCTAGCTGTTGAAACATTCAGCTGGACAGTTGACTGCTTGCTATGAAAACAACGTACAGCCACTTGCGATGGTCGACATGATAAAACAAAAATCAGGTTGAAAATTAAAAAATGTTTATTAAGTTGTACAAATAATACACCATAAAGAGTAAAAATGATAAAACAAGCAACAGACCGTGTTCGAAAACTAGGAGATAATGCTAAAAGTTACAACATATCGACATTTTTCAAGATTTCTTCAAATGCTAAAAAAGAACAAAAAATGTACCATACAAAGTAAAATTTATAAAACAACCAACATTGTGATCGAAAACTGAGGGATAATGCTAAAAGTTACAACATATGGACATTTTTAAAGATTTCTTCAAATGGTAAAAAAAGAACAAAAAATGTACCATACAAAGTAAAATTTATAAAACAAGCAACAGATCGTGATCGAAAACTGAGGGATAATACTAAAAGTTACAACATATCGATATTTTTCAAGATTTCTTCAAATGGTAAAAAAAGAACAAAAAATGCACCATACAAAGTAAAATTTATAAAACAAGCAACAGATCGTGATCGAAAACCGAGGGATAATGCTAAAAGTTACAACATATCGATATTTTTCAAGATTTCTTCAAATGGTAAAAAAAGAACAAAAAATGCACCATACAAAGTAAAATTTATAAAACAAGCAACAGATCGTGATCGAAAACTGAGGGATAATGCTAAAAGTTACAACATATCGACATTTTTCAAGATTTCTTCACATGGTAAAAACTGAGCATGCGATGATAAAAGTCATATTGTGTGTCATCATAGTGATGCATAAAAAACAATGATTAAAAAAGAACTAAATCGACGAAATATATTATACATAAGTAACAACCTAATCGATCACTATTAACAACAGCACCCAATAATGGTAATTCATCCCGTTTTTTCCTCCTCTCACATTTCGGGCACGGTTTTAGAGAATTCAAACACGATTTATGATATACCGCGAAACACACCGAACAGCGGAATACGTTTTCCACGTCAAAGGGAAATAAGGCTTTGGGCTTATGGCACACTTCACACACAAAGCCTTTTTGGCTACACAACCAGCAATTGGCCACGTGGTCCTTTCCAAATGTCACAACCTTCTGTAACTGCTGGGCAAGCACGCCATTGGTTATATCAGCTAGGTCCTGAAAAATGAAAAAAACATAAGTCAGAAACAGTTTCCTACTGTTCCGGATCAGCGCTCTATTTTGAGGTTATGTTACAAAAATCTATTTGCATCAAAAGCCTGAAATTTCCTATAATTCAAAAAGAAAACCGTCGCACAATAGGAGAGCGCTGACTCTTACACGGAACAGTAGAAATCTAGAAATTTCACAGCCTTTCTGGAGGAGAGAAAATACTATGAAAATCAAGGAGTTCATAAAGGCGTCCTACAATTGTACGTGGGTGGTCTCAAAAATAATGTTCCCACATTTTCTTTAGGCATAAGGAATTTTTTATTTGAAAAAACGAATTTACCATTGGAAGCGTTGATCTTCAAGCTATTTTTACATGCACCTCTACATTCCTTAGACCCCAAGCCTCGCCTTTCTAGCGAAGTTGAGTATGACCTTGAGTCCAAGCTCCTTGTCGTCGTGAGGATCCAAAGTAATGGACCCCAGTATAGTTTGCCTATAGTAGCTCAGAGAATCACAGCGACACAGAACGTGCGCCAAGGTCTCTTCCTCTACCCCGCAGCGCTCACAAAAAGCATCCTCGGCCACCCACATCACCAGCAACCTTAGGTTGGCTCTATCCAGAGATAAGCAGGAACGTCCATCCTTAGCGCTGGGCCCTGCAATGAGTTCCCCTGAAAGTGTTGTCTTACAATCCACTTCTCCATTTTCCTCCTAACTCTTTGCTGGCTCAGGACCAACGAGCTGGCTGACCGATCCTGTCTTCGCCAGAGCGCCCGCCGTCTCATTGCCTTTATCCCAGCCTGCCAGGGTAGCCACATTAATGATACCGGATGCCTCGCTGCGAGACAATCCAGAGCCTCCCTGAATTGCAATACAAGGCTCAAAGTATTCTTACACTCACTTAGTGCCTTCATTGCAGCCTGGCTGTCGGAGAATATTGTTATTTTTCCTCCTATGCCTTCCCTCCTCTACAATGCGGGATTCACAAGCCAGAATCGCAAAGATTTCCGCCTGCAAAATAATGGTGTATCCACCAAGAGGCAGAGGTGGCCTAGTTCTAGGTCCAGAGACCCTGAGCCAGAGCCCTCCTCGGTGACAGAACCGTCCGTGTACCAAACCTGCCCACTCACTCCGAGAGCTTCCGGCTACCGGCGTCCCACTCCTCCCTCGTTGGATACTCCACATTAAACTTGGTAACTGCTCCTTGCAACTCCTCGTCCGTATCGAACCGTTGACCGCCTAGGTGCTCCTTCAATTTCGGAAACAGTATGTCAGGCTTGTAAGGGGGATGGGCAATGACCTCCCAGCCAAATCGCTCGATTCAGTCCTTCGTTTGTTGTGAGACATGAGGATGTGCATTGTCGTGGTACAGTCTTACGCTTTGCAGAGTTGTCACCTTCGACGATTTTGGATTGCTTGTCTCAGCTTTTTTAGAAGCCTCAGAAATTTCAACCGCCTGTTCCTGGATTCTGATTCGCCGATCTTCGAGCAAGATTTGCTCAATCTTCTTCTCGGAGATCGACGGCTTCCCGCTTCGATGTTAAAGAACTATCTTCGCCATTTTAGGACATGTTGAATGCTTATACATATTTCCCCATAGACTTCACTCAAGTGGCGATGAATTTCTATGGGTGATATCCTTTTTGCATGCAAAAATCGGATGACCACGAATTTCGTACCTGGCGGTGACGGCGATAAAGGGCTCCATTGCGCATCGCTGAGCGTCGCCAACAGCCACTTCTTGTTGGGATCGGTGGTGGGGAAGCCGGCAAACACGACGGTGTTGCCAGATTTGTCCTAGCATTACGCGCGGCAGAGTTACAGTGTTGGGAACCATATTTTTGAAACAACCGTCGTAGGAACGACTGACGATACGACCCTAAGGTCTACAACAATTGCCCAGGAGTGAAGCACAGCCTTTCAAGGTCTGGTTCTTATGAAAGGCGTGACCCTGGGTATAGAGGTGTCCAGGCAGAGCTGTCACAAAACCAACGTACAGTATTTCAAGTGCCAAGTATCAGTTACTTGAAATTTTTCTCCGCAAAAACAACTATTCAAAAAGTAGTTCAAGTACCAAATAATCTAGCATTTGATTTTACTTCCTATGCCAAAACTGAGGAGCAACTATTGTAATCGCGAAAAATGTCAATCATTTATGATAATCATATCATAATTTGAAAAGTACACGACTTAGATTTATTTTTCTGATAACTATTATGATTTGGCCTATCCTCCGTTTCCGGCTTGACGTCGACTTCTGGGACACTGTGTATAAGATCAAAAAAACATAATATCAAAATGATGAAGCATCGTTCCTATGCAAGTGCGTCGCGTATCAAGGCAGATATTGTGGCAGGACAGTTTGATAAACAAGAAATTTATGAAACAAATTTGTTAGAAGTTATGACAGGTTCTTACCATTATAGAATATTGGTGTATATGTTCGTACATATATTCTCGAGGCCACATCATTTTCTGTAACTGTTCTATGACCGGTTCTCGACAAGTATACAAATATGCTCTTAAGAAATTCAACTGGTTCCTCAAAGTTTGCAACTGAGCCATTTCTTCAACAACACTATAGATATAAGGATTCAGCACCTGAAAATGTTCCATGGATATCGAGCTTCATTATTAAATACACTGTATATTTACTTTAAAATCAATCACCGGACAATCTTTGATTTCATCTATGTATTTTGATCCTCGCTTCGATACAGGATATGCTTTAAAGTCCCAATTATGGATTATTCTGGCAGGTACAGGTATCTGTTCAAAACTCATACAGTCATCACAAAAATAATCACCTGTGAAGGCACAAACGCTGAAAAATGACAAAATGAGTGAATGTTACAAACAACTGTGAGGACTATATTTTAAATACTGAATATTTCTACTTACTTTGGTTTCTGGTTTACCTCTAAGAGTTGCTTACACTCACTACACATATAATCTTGCGCATTCAATCCTTTTTCTCTTGCTATCCTACCAACCTGGACAGCCAATGAGTTTGCAGTTGTTTTCATTATATGAGCACTTGTTACTTCTGCTTTCACTGGTGACTGGTCATCCTATATAATATAATTATACCTACATCATCTGTTATAAATAAAAACATGTTTACAATAAGAGTGTAGTTTCGTGAAATACTTACATCAGTTGTAACATCATATTCCTTTCTTTCATCCTCAAACTTCTGCCAGACTTCCCGAATATCGGGTGTCCTTATAAATCCCCCACTCAACATATTATAGCTCTCGATCAGAGCATTGTAACTTGCTTCCATCGATTTTGGCTCACTGCTTTTTCTTTTATTTGACTCTTCTAACTGTGACCTAGGCTCTTCTGTGATCATATTGTTTCGCGTATCATCAAAAGACCAACCGGATCTTCTATTCAATGAATTACCAATATTTACATTGTAGGTAACATTATTCTCAGAATCATTGTTCCTTTCCAGTTCTGAGTCACCAGAAGACTTATCCATAGAGCCATACCCATCATTGGAGCTACTGGGACGTTCTCTCTCATCCTTATCATTATCTTTCTCTAAAATGATCTTCAACACCTCATCTTCTGTCAATGCTACAATCTGCTTAACTCCTGAGCTTTGTGAAGTGATTGAAATAGCAGAGCTCAGAGACACAGTATCAGAAGTATTATCGGCAGGGGTAGAGGCCTCGGTTATGGCTTGGGCAACGTCATCACAAGGCGCTATGGGACATGATTTCATCGTTGGAGCCCATATGCCGGACAAAAACAGGCTTGGCATAGGCCAAGTGTTTAAAAGACTAGAATTGAATGGTAAGGTAAACGTTTTAAAGGCTTCAACGCCTTCTATTAAACGTTGAGCCACTTCTAATAGTTCGCAATCGCGTATGTAAGCTTCTGTTTTGTAGTATGATTTCAAGACGGATGAATCTTGACGTAAAGTCATCAAGTAGGATGAGAGAAGGCAGTCATTTAGCGCTAAACGGATCCAAGCCCGGCATTGGCCCACTTCTGTAATAATCTGGGATAAATTTGTAATCTGAAAGGGAAAGAAATAGTATGGTATAACAAATCTTTGATTTATTGGGATCATTGCTATTCAACTTGATTTGCCCACCCATATCTCTGAGGGGCATATAACTATACTGACAGATGACACACAATTACTGCAAAAAATGTGAATCATATTCACACCAAAATTCAACGTATGAGGGTTGTTTCAAAAATAAGGTTCCCAACGGTGTAAATTTGCAGCCCGTGATGCTAGGCAAAATCTGACAACCCCGCCGGGTTTGCCGACTCCCCCACCACCGATCCCAACAAGAAGCGCCTATTGGCAACGCTCAGTACCTGCCTGACAGCCATGCGCAATGGAGTCCTTCATCACCGTCACCGCCAAGTGGAAAATTCGTGCAGTCATCCGATTTTTCCGCGCAAAAACGTTACCACTCATAGAAATTCATCGCCAGTTGAGTGAGATATATGGAGATCGTGTATAAGCATGCAACATGTCCTCAAATGCTGAAGTTCTTTGACGACCGCATGGACATCCACGATGAACAACGACGCGGGAGGGCGTCGATCTGCGAGGAAGTTATGACGAAGATTGAGAAAACCTTGCTCGAAGATCAGCAAAAAGCGATCCAGGAACAGGCGGTTGGAATTCCTGAGGCTTCTGAAAAAGCCCATACGGGGCATCCAAAATGGTCGTAGGGCAAATCGCTGCAAAGCGTTACACTGCATCACGACAGTGCGCATCCTCGTGTCTCACAACAAAGGAAGGACTGGATCGCGCAATTTAGCTGGGAAGTCATTGCCCATTCCCCTTACAGCCCTGACATAGCATTTCCGAAACTGAAGGCGCACCTAGGCGGTCAACGGTTCGAGACGAACGAAGAGTTGCAAAAAGCAGTTACAAAGTTTCTAAACGGGCTGGCGGTGGACTTCCTTGAGGCGGGAGTGAAAAAGCGGTTCCTACATCTAAAAAATGCGCAGAAAATTGGCGACTATGTAGAAAAATAGCTTAAAGATCAACGTATTCAATTATAAATCCAATTTGCAAATAAAAAATTACTTGTGCCTGAAAAAAATGTGAGAACCTGATTTTTGAGAGAACCCTATTGAATGCATTTTTATCTTGGTGCCAAAGAAATCGGCTAATCCATCGTTCAAGTAAGACCATTGTAATAAATTATAACATCCATCACATAACTAATATAGAAGTTACTCTTCTAAATTATTTAGCACATATTTAGCTGACTTAATTTTCTGGAACATGTTGATCATGTTTGTAAAAATGTAAGTAAAGCATATTTTGCCTCCCTGCAGGTAAGAGATTTTATAAACGAAAAAAAGCTCTAGTCAATATGTATTACACACTGGCATATAGCTAATATGTTACAACATTATCATATAAAAGAAATCATATTTAAGTGAGATAGTATTTGTAGCCCAAAAAAAGAATCATAAGGTTAAATTTTTGGAATGAAGCTACTTGACTGCTGCTGAGAAATTTTAAAGTCAAGGAAATTCTTAATGTGTATTGCATTTTGAAAGGCCTAACCTACGTTAAGAAGTATAAAAGTTTATTTCCCAATATTAATGTTTATCACAAGTACAATCTAAGAAATCAAAATCTGAAAATAGTTCAATCTACCACCTATTTCATTTAATAAAGAAGTTGAGAAATTATTGTTATAATAGTTCTTGGGATGTACGAGCTTGCACTTGAATACATAAGGATGGTATGAATAGTTATTATTCATTGATAACTAATTGTTAATTTTTATTGATCTTTATTGTTTTGTATTACATTCTTTACCTTTCAATTAAGTGGATATGGATAAAGAGTAAAGAACGCAATACATGATGCCTAAATTATGAATATTAACAGTGTAGTCAAAGAAGTCAAAAACTAAGGTTGATATTTTTGCATGATGCTTCAGATATTTACAATTGACATAATCACCCAAATATGCCAATTATTCAATTATAGGTACAGAAATTGGAAATTCAAATTGGGTGCATTAATAAGATGTCAGTTTTATATTCAAATCAGCACACTATATTAACTTGGCACACAAGGTTTATTTTGTTTAAAGCAGTGGGAAATGAAGATGACAATTTTGCTGTACAATATTTTATATTCCTGTGAGAAAATTTCCTAAGAATGCCCAATTTCATTCACTTGTGAACATGGAAGTTTTACATGGGAAAGCTACAGTGGAACAAAAGTATTGGTATATGTTTTTTTAATCCCAATAAAGGAATGATTAATCTTTTTTTACTGCATTTATTTGAAAATTAACATCCAAATATGTAGTAATTTAACAATAATAATAGGTGTTATGAAATTCAAGGGTCAAAAAAAAATTGGCACACTGAAAAAAAAAACAAATGGGTTTTAACAAAATTCATTTACAGCTAGAACTTTATCATACAATTTTCGACAGTTGTACTTATATTTCTGGTCTAATTAGGTCTCATTTATCTATAAGAATTTCTAGCTGTCATTTTGCAGGAATAGTTATTGTATATTATGATAAATTACACTTACCTGGTTTATAATTTGTTTATGTGAAATTATGAGAAGTGGAGACCAAAATGAAGGCTCTGGCCTCTCATCTATATCTGCTAGAACCCTTTTAAACCGTAATGACATTGTATCCTTTAGACCATGTAAAAACATTGCTTCAATAATATTACACAAATTACTTGCAGCTTCTAGAACTTCTTCAGGTTTCATTGATCTATTATCATCTAGTCCAGAGTACTGTATTTGTTTAACACTATTGGACAATTCTGTCATAATAGATTGTTTTATAAAGTCATCTTTGCTGGAGTTAGCTGATCTTACGCTCTTCAATAACTTATTCATGATGATGGATGTCCTTCAACTTTCTATCATCTCTAAGCCAAATTCTTTAAAAATGTTAAGCATTGTCAGGTATCCAGCACCTTTTCGTATTACCTTAAATAAGCCTGGTTCTGTTAAATCTACAACAGTAGATGCCCTGTCGTTACTTAATTTACCTCCATCGAAAATGACAGGTATCTGATCCCAAATTGATTTAAATTCCAGAATTTCAGTTGCACTAGGCTCATTGCTCAAGTTTGCACTAGTCAGAGCTATTGGTTTGCCCAAGTGACCAGAAATATGCCTGATGAAGGGATAGTCAGGTATCCTTATACCAATGTTACCTTTCAAGATTAATGATGCATCTAGGTTGTTAGTGCTTTTCAGGACTAATGTGTAAGGGCCTGGCAATAAAGCATGTAGGATTTTGCTGGAAAGATGATGAACTTCAGCCCACAATTCAAGTTCACTTACTTGATTCAAACAAATAGCAAGCGGTTTGTTTTTGTTCCTATTTTTGATACTATATAACTTGTTTATTGCTGATACATTTGTTGCATCGCACGCTAAGCCATAAACAGTATCTGTAGGTACTGCAATAACCGATCCTGATTTCAAGTAATCTACAGCAACGTGTTCTGCTGATGGATCTTTCATATAATTTATGTGAAGAGCCATAGGGTGAATGGGTGCATATGTAACATATGATAAACTATGTTTGAAAACCCTGAATGTCTTTTTAAAAATTATCATTTAGTACACTAGTCGCGCCAGTTATGGTTGCAATCTTTGTTACAGCATCGATAGAAAGTTGTCATCGGTTCATCTGCGGATCTAGTTTGTAGTTGCATAAAATAAGCTTTGTCATGGCCACACTGTGGACAACGTGCTTCTGTCGAATCCACGTTTTTCCAAGCTTCTTCTCCACCTAGCACATCATCAATTTCCTGGAAAAAAGTGAAAATAAGGATTTGGATATCCAATCAGAAAATAAGCATTACCTTAAGTCTGTAGTAATTCCTGTAGGTTATCAATTTATTCACAGGGAAAAATACTGGACAAACGTTACAGATGAATTGCAATTTCCCACCAACATTTTCTTCCACGAATAATATATTTGAACAAAAAGGGCAAAATGCTACCATATTAACACGACAACATTACTATTCACTAAACTGTTATAATGAACAATTATTGCTGCAAGTTTAAATAATATATTTGTAGAATTTGGATCAATCGTATTATCTAAACAGATTACAGATGAATCATATTTCCATAGTCTTTTTCAACATGTGGTCACTTTTGATATTTGCTGATTCCAGCGTTGTCAGAGCCAAAACTAAGAAATTTGCAACACATTATGGTGAAATTCTGCTACAACGACAATGAAAAAATATGTGTTTATGTTCAATGAATACAATGATGACATCAGGGATACGTTTTTAACTTATAGGATTGCCAAATTCACAGCCGTGAATTCTTATAATCTAGATAACTTTCAAAAATCAAGATTCCTGATTTTCTATATTTTATTACGTCACTATTGGATCAGCGGAATTCCGTTACATCTGGCAACGCCGGTAATTCATCTACTCTGAGGTAAAAAGAATGTTTCGTAGGCGTCTTCTACTCCTCAGAGACCTACTCCAGCTTCAGTTCCTGAAAATTCCGCGCCAGCGTTAGTGTCGGAAAGTCCCGCACCAGCTTTAGTTTCTCAAGCTCCCGCAGCAGCACAAAGTCCTAAATCAGCTTCAACCCCTCAAAGTGTTGCTCCAGCCTCAGGCCCACAAAGTCCCGTACCAACTGCACAAAAGCCAGAGAAAGACTGTAAAAAACCTACGGAGCCTCCTAAAGAAGGATCTGCTGTAGCAGGAAAGCCGGAAGCTTCCAAAGAACTATCTAAAGATGAAAAACCGTCTGAGCAAGCTTCAAGTGAAACTTCAGGTCCCACGCCACCACCACGTAAAGGTAGTGGTCCCAAGAAAGCTGGTGGAAAGGGAAAGAAGTAAAATAATCCATAATGTTTTTGAATTATCATTCTATGATAAAATACTGCTTTGGAGTGTCTTTATTTACGAGTAATTTAAGTTGAACTACTAAACTATATTTAAGTAGATCTTGGTCTTGACCCCAATAAATGGCAGAATATGGTTTTACTTGCAACTTTATTTAACCCTCGTCTAGAAAAATAAGTTAGGTGCACGGGATTCATAAGAAGCATGATATTTTGCATAAGAAACATAATAATAGTCTATATTTCCTATTGTACAGTAACGTTACAGAAATTGTATAGCCACTACAAAATGAAATGTCGCGTAAATATCACCAGTATACGAGTAGTAGTTTACCTCTGATCTTTCTTTCTTTATAATGGTGACGTATCTTACGAGGGTGGTCCGATAAGTACTTAGCCTCACCGGCCGATGACGCCACTATCGCAAGAGAAATTTACTACCGGGTAGAACATTCTCGTAGCCGGCTGCTGTCAAAATTTTAGCCGAATCGGACTCGTAGTTTTGTTATGACCGCGTGCGGAAGCGGACGAATCTTGTTTTTGGAAGGGAAATCGCGCAGCGAAATGAAAGAGCGCTTGCGTACGGTGACTCTTGTCCTTCGATGGCGACCGTCAGAAATTGGTTTAACGAGTTTCAACGTGGCCGTGTGTCGGTCATAACCGTCGTGAAGCATTGGGCATGATAAAGCTGTCTGCGCGATGGGTGCCGCGTTTGCTCACTCTGGACAATAGGCGCAACCGTGAGACCACTTCAGAGCAGTCTTTAACGTTGTTTAAGCGCAATCCAAAGGAGTTTCTGCCTCGTTTCGTGGCCGTCGACAAAACATGGATCCACTGGTACACACCAGAGACCAAGGAACAGTCAAAACATTGGACTTCAGCCGGCGAACGTGCTCCGAGGAAGGCGAATACTGTCCGATCGGCCGGAAAGGTGACTGTTAGCGTGTTCTGATTCACATGGTGTGATCTACATCGACTACCTGGAGAAGGGCAAAACGGTCACAGGGCTCTACTATGCCGAATTATTGGGCCGATTCAACGCCGAATTGCTGAAAAAATGTCCCCATTTGACGAAAAAGAAATGTTCTTACACCAAGACAACGCACCGGCTCGCAGCTCCGCCACGGCTAAATTGGTCGATTTAGGCTACGAACTGCTGCCCCATCCACAGTATTTTCCAGATTTGGCCCCGTGCGACTTCTTTTTTTGTTTCCAAACTTGAAAAAGTCACTCGCCGGGCAGAAATTTGAATCGAATGAGGGGGTTATCGCCGCCACGGAGGCCTACTTTGCATACCTCCAGAAAATTATTTTTCAGGCGGATTAAAGAAGTTTGAGTGTCGCTGGGTCAAATGTATCGATCTGAAAGGAGACTGTGTTGAGAAATAAATTGCTACTTTTCCAAAATTGTTGTATTTGTTTTGTAGGCTAAGTACTTATCGGACCGCCCTCGTAAAACAGCTACCATCTATGGTGTAAGGCTCTGACTGTATTAGAAATGACATAATGGTTGTTGTACATTTACATGAACTGTTTGTTTTTAATTTGATACACACACGTAAATAAGGCTTTTTTCTGTGGAAGATAACCTATGTATGGATAATTAGTATTGACTGTTCGAGTGTCATAAGCAGTTTGCACCTCAAGCTCGAATAAATTTTTATTTTTGAAAAAATAGATATAGTCATGGTTTTTTAGTTTTAAACACTCCCCTGCAAGTTTCATTAGAATTTAGTTCCTTTACCACACGTACTGCTGTTTTTTGAGCTTTATGGAAATGTTTAAATGATCATATCAAAATGTCACTGCGAAATTGGAAAAAAATTGGTATCTAGCTGTTGAAACATTCAGCTGGACAGTTGACTGCTTGCTATGAAAACAACGTACAGCCACTTGCGATGGTCGACATGATAAAACAAAAATCAGGTTGAAAATTAAAAAATGTTTATTAAGTTGTACAAATAATACACCATAAAGGTTAAAAATGATAAAACAAGCAACAGACCGTGTTCGAAAACTAGGAGATAATGCTAAAAGTTACAACATATCGACATTTTTCAAGATTTCTTCAAATGCTAAAAAAGAACAAAAAATGTACCATACAAAGTAAAATTTATAAAACAACCAACAGATTGTGATCGAAAACTGAGGGATAATGCTAAAAGTTACAACATATGGACATTTTTAAAGATTTCTTCAAATGGTAAAAAAAGAACAAAAAATGTACCATACAAAGTAAAATTTATAAAACAAGCAACAGATCGTGATCGAAAACTGAGGGATAATACTAAAAGTTACAACATATCGATATTTTTCAAGATTTCTTCAAATGGTAAAAAAAGAACAAAAAATGCACCATACAAAGTAAAATTTATAAAACAAGCAACAGATCGTGATCGAAAACTGAGGGATAATGCTAAAAGTTACAACATATCGATATTTTTCAAGATTTCTTCAAATGGTAAAAAAAGAACAAAAAATGCACCATACAAAGTAAAATTTATAAAACAAGCAACAGATCGTGATCGAAAACTGAGGGATAATGCTAAAAGTTACAACATATCGACATTTTTCAAGATTTCTTCACATGGTAAAAACTGAGCATGCGATGATAAAAGTCATATTGTGTGTCATCATAGTGATGCATAAAAAACAATGATTAAAAAAGAACTAAATCGACGAAATATAATATACATAAGTAACAACCTAATCAATCACTATTAACAACAGCACCCAATAATGGTAATTCATCCCGTTTTTTCCTCCTCTCACATTTCGGGCACGGTTTTAGAGAATTCAAACACGATTTATGATATACCGCGAAACACACCGAACAGCGGAATACGTTTTCCACGTCAAAGGGAAATAAGGCTTTGGGCTTATGGCACACTTCACACACAAAGCCTTTTTGGCTACACAACCAGCAATTGGCCACGTGGTCCTTTCCAAATGTCACAACCTTCTGTAACTGCTGGGCAAGCACGCCATTGGTTATATCAGCTAGGTCCTGAAAAATGAAAAAACATAAGTCAGAAACAGTTTCCTAATGTTCCGGATCAGCGCTCTATTTTGAGGTTATGTTACAAAAATCTATTTGCATCAAAAGCCTGAAATTTCCTATAATTCAAAAAGAAAACCGTCGCACAATAGGAGAGCGCTGACTCTTACACGGAACAGTAGAAATCTAGAAATTTCACAGCCTTTCTGGAGGAGAGAAAATACTATGAAAATCAAGGAGTTCATAAAGGCGTCCTACAATTGTACGTGGGTGGTCTCAAAAATAATGTTCCCACATTTTCTTTAGGCATAAGGAATTTTTTATTTGAAAAAACGAATTTACCATTGGAAGCGTTGATCTTCAAGCTATTTTTACATGCACCTCTACATTCCTTAGACCCCAAGCCTCGCCTTTCTAGCGAAGTTGAGTATGACCTTGAGTCCAAGCTCCTTGTCGTCGTGAGGATCCAAAGTAATGGACCCCAGTATAGTTTGCCTATAGTAGCTCAGAGAATCACAGCGACACAGAACGTGCGCCAAGGTCTCTTCCTCTACCCCGCAGCGCTCACAAAAAGCATCCTCGGCCACCCACATCACCAGCAACCTTAGGTTGGCTCTATCCAGAGATAAGCAGGAACGTCCATCCTTAGCGCTGGGCCCTGCAATGAGTTCCCCTGAAAGTGTTGTCTTACAATCCACTTCTCCATTTTCCTCCTAACTCTTTGCTGGCTCAGGACCAACGAGCTGGCTGACCGATCCTGTCTTCGCCAGAGCGCCCGCCGTCTCATTGCCTTTATCCCAGCCTGCCAGGGTAGCCACATTAATGATACCGGATGCCTCGCTGCGAGACAATCCAGAGCCTCCCTGAATTGCAATACAAGGCTCAAAGTATTCTTACACTCACTTAGTGCCTTCATTGCAGCCTGGCTGTCGGAGAATATTGTTATTTTTCCTCCTATGCCTTCCCTCCTCTACAATGCGGGATTCACAAGCCAGAATCGCAAAGATTTCCGCCTGCAAAATAATGGTGTATCCACCAAGAGGCAGAGGTGGCCTAGTTCTAGGTCCAGAGACCCTGAGCCAGAGCCCTCCTCGGTGACAGAACCGTCCGTGTACCAAACCTGCCCACTCACTCCGAGAGCTTCCGGCTACCGGCGTCCCACTCCTCCCTCGTTGGATACTCCACATTAAACTTGGTAACTGCTCCTTGCAACTCCTCGTCCGTATCGAACCGTTGACCGCCTAGGTGCTCCTTCAATTTCGGAAACAGTATGTCAGGCTTGTAAGGGGGATGGGCAATGACCTCCCAGCCAAATCGCTCGATTCAGTCCTTCGTTTGTTGTGAGACATGAGGATGTGCATTGTCGTGGTACAGTCTTACGCTTTGCAGAGTTGTCACCTTCGACGATTTTGGATTGCTTGTCTCAGCTTTTTTAGAAGCCTCAGAAATTTCAACCGCCTGTTCCTGGATTCTGATTCGCCGATCTTCGAGCAAGATTTGCTCAATCTTCTTCTCGGAGATCGACCGCTTCCCGCTTCGATGTTCATCGTGGATGTCCATGCGGCCGTTAAAGAACTATCTTCGCCATTTTAGGACATGTTGAATGCTTATACATATTTCCCCATAGACTTCACTCAAGTGGCGATGAATTTCTATGGGTGATATCCTTTTTGCATGCAAAAATCGGATGACCACGAATTTCGTACCTGGCGGTGACGGCGATAAAGGGCTCCATTGCGCATCGCTGAGCGTCGCCAACAGCCACTTCTTGTTGGGATCGGTGGTGGGGAAGCCGGCAAACACGACGGTGTTGCCAGATTTGTCCTAGCATTACGCGCGGCAGAGTTACAGTGTTGGGAACCATATTTTTGAAACAACCGTCGTAGGAACGACTGACGATACGACCCTAAGGTCTACAACAATTGCCCAGGAGTGAAGCACAGCCTTTCAAGGTCTAGTTCTTATGAAAGGCGTGACCCTGGGTATAGAGGTGTCCAGGCAGAGCTGTCACAAAACCAACGTACAGTATTTCAAGTGCCAAGTATCAGTTACTTGAAATTTTTCTCCGCAAAAACAACTATTCAAAAAGTAGTTCAAGTACCAAATAATCTAGCATTTGATTTTACTTCCTATGCCAAAACTGAGGAGCAACTATTGTAATCGCGAAAAATGTCAATCATTTATGATAATCATATCATAATTTGAAAAGTACACGACTTAGATTTATTTTTCTGATAACTATTATGATTTGGCCTATCCTCCGTTTCCGGCTTGACGTCGACTTCTGGGACACTGTGTATAAGATCAAAAAAACATAATATCAAAATGATGAAGCATCGTTCCTATGCAAGTGCGTCGCGTATCAAGGCAGATATTGTGGCAGGACAGTTTGATAAACAAGAAATTTATGAAACAAATTTGTTAGAAGTTATGACAGGTTCTTACCATTATAGAATATTGGTGTATATGTTCGTACATATATTCTCGAGGCCACATCATTTTCTGTAACTGTTCTATGACCGGTTCTCGACAAGTATACAAATATGCTCTTAAGAAATTCAACTGGTTCCTCAAAGTTTGCAACTGAGCCATTTCTTCAACAACACTATAGATATAAGGATTCAGCACCTGAAAATGTTCCATGGATATCAAGCTTCATTATTAAATACACTGTATATTTACTTTAAAATCAATCACCGGACAATCTTTGATTTCATCTATGTATTTTGATCCTCGCTTCGATACAGGATATGCTTTAAAGTCCCAATTATGGATTATTCTGGCAGGTACAGGTATCTGTTCAAAACTCATACAGTCATCACAAAAATAATCACCTGTGAAGGCACAAACGCTGAAAAATGACAAAATGAGTGAATGTTACAAACAACTGTGAGGACTATATTTTAAATACTGAATATTTCTACTTACTTTGGTTTCTGGTTTACCTCTAAGAGTTGCTTACACTCACTACACATATAATCTTGCGCATTCAATCCTTTTTCTCTTGCTATCCTACCAACCTGGACAGCCAATGAGTTTGCAGTTGTTTTCATTATATGAGCACTTGTTACTTCTGCTTTCACTGGTGACTGGTCATCCTATATAATATAATTATACCTACATCATCTGTTATAAATAAAAACATGTTTACAATAAGAGTGTAGTTTCGTGAAATACTTACATCAGTTGTAACATCATATTCCTTTCTTTCATCCTCAAACTTCTGCCAGACTTCCCGAATATCGGGTGTCCTTATAAATCCCCCACTCAACATATTATAGCTCTCGATCAGAGCATTGTAACTTGCTTCCATCGATTTTGGCTCACTGCTTTTTCTTTTATTTGACTCTTCTAACTGTGACCTAGGCTCTTCTGTGATCATATTGTTTCGCGTATCATCAAAAGACCAACCGGATCTTCTATTCAATGAATTACCAATATTTACATTGTAGGTAACATTATTCTCAGATTCATTGTTCCTTTCCAGTTCTGAGTCACCAGAAGACTTATCCATAGAGCCATACCCATCATTGGAGCTACTGGGACGTTCTCTCTCGTCCTTATCATTATCTTTCTCTAAAATGATCTTCAACACCTCATCTTCTGTCAATGCTACAATCTGCTTAACTCCTGAGCTTTGTGAAGTGATTGAAATAGCAGAGCTCAGAGACACAGTATCAGAAGTATTATCGGCAGGGGTAGAGGCCTCGGTTATGGCTTGGGCAACGTCATCACAAGGCGCTATGGGACATGATTTCATCGTTGGAGCCCATATGCCGGACAAAAACAGGCTTGGCATAGGCCAAGTGTTTAAAAGACTAGAATTGAATGGTAAGGTAAACGTTTTAAAGGCTTCAACGCCTTCTATTAAACGTTGAGCCACTTCTAATAGTTCGCAATCGCGTATGTAAGCTTCTGTTTTGTAGTATGATTTCAAGACGGATGAATCTTGACGTAAAGTCATCAAGTAGGATGAGAGAAGGCAGTCATTTAGCGCTAAACGGATCCAAGCCCGGCATTGGCCCACTTCTGTAATAATCTGGGATAAATTTGTAATCTGAAAGGGAAAGAAATAGTATGGTATAACAAATCTTTGATTTATTGGGATCATTGCTATTCAACTTGATTTGCCCACCCATATCTCTGAGGGGCATATAACTATACTGACAGATGACACACAATTACTGCAAAAAATGTGAATCATATTCACACCAAAATTCAACGTATGAGGGTTGTTTCAAAAATAAGGTTCCCAACGGTGTAAATTTGCAGCCCGTGATGCTAGGCAAAATCTGACAACCCCGCCGGGTTTGCCGACTCCCCCACCACCGATCCCAACAAGAAGCGCCTATTGGCAACGCTCAGTACCTGCCTGACAGCCATGCGCAATGGAGTCCTTCATCACCGTCACCGCCAAGTGGAAAATTCGTGCAGTCATCCGATTTTTCCGCGCAAAAACGTTACCACTCATAGAAATTCATCGCCAGTTGAGTGAGATATATGGAGATCGTGTATAAGCATGCAACATGTCCTCAAATGCTGAAGTTCTTTGACGACCGCATGGACATCCACGATGAACAACGACGCGGGAGGGCGTCGATCTGCGAGGAAGTTATGACGAAGATTGAGAAAACCTTGCTCGAAGATCAGCAAAAAGCGATCCAGGAACAGGCGGTTGGAATTCCTGAGGCTTCTGAAAAAGCCCATACGGGGCATCCAAAATGGTCGTAGGGCAAATCGCTGCAAAGCGTTACACTGCATCACGACAGTGCGCATCCTCGTGTCTCACAACAAAGGAAGGACTGGATCGCGCAATTTAGCTGGGAAGTCATTGCCCATTCCCCTTACAGCCCTGACATAGCATTTCCGAAACTGAAGGCGCACCTAGGCGGTCAACGGTTCGAGACGAACGAAGAGTTGCAAAAAGCAGTTACAAAGTTTCTAAACGGGCTGGCGGTGGACTTCCTTGAGGCGGGAGTGAAAAAGCGGTTCTTACATCTAAAAAATGCGCAGAAAATTGGCGACTATGTAGAAACATAGCTTAAAGATCAACGTATTCAATTATAAATCCAATTTGCAAATAAAAAATTACTTGTGCCTGAAAAAAATGTGAGAACCTGATTTTTGAGAGAACCCTATTGAATGCATTTTTATCTTGGTGCCAAAGAAATCGGCTAATCCATCGTTCAAGTAAGACCATTGTAATAAATTATAACATCCATCACATAACTAATATAGAAGTTACTCTTCTAAATTATTTAGCACATATTTAGCTGACTTAATTTTCTGGAACATGTTGATCATGTTTGTAAAAATGTAAGTAAAGCATATTTTGCCTCCCTGCAGGTAAGAGATTTTATAAACGAAAAAAAGCTCTAGTCAATATGTATTACACACTGGCATATAGCTAATATGTTACAACATTATCATATAAGAGAAATCATATTTAAGTGAGATAGTATTTGTAGCCCAAAAAAAGAATCATAAGGTTAAATTTTTGGAATGAAGCTACTTGACTGCTGCTGAGAAATTTTAAAGTCAAGGAAATTCTTAATGTGTATTGCATTTTGAAAGGCCTAACCTACGTTAAGAAGTATAAAAGTTTATTTCCCAATATTAATGTTTATCACAAGTACAATCTAAGAAATCAAAATCTGAAAATAGTTCAATCTACCACCTATTTCATTTAATAAAGAAGTTGAGAAATTATTGTTATAATAGTTCTTGGGATGTACGAGCTTGCACTTGAATACATAAGGATGGTATGAATAGTTATTATTCATTGATAACTAATTGTTAATTTTTATTGATCTTTATTGTTTTGTATTACATTTTTTACCTTTCAATTAAGTGGATATGGATAAAGAGTAAAGAATGCAATACATGATGCCTAAATTATGAATATTAACAGTGTAGTCAAAGAAGTCAAAAACTAAGGTTGATATTTTTGCATGATGCTTCAGATATTTACAATTGACATAATCACCCAAATATGCCAATTATTCAATTATAGGTACAGAAATTGGAAATTCAAATTGGGTGCATTAATAAGATGTCAGTTTTATATTCAAATCAGCACACTATATTAACTTGGCACACAAGGTTTATTTTGTTTAAAGCAGTGGGAAATGAAGATGACAATTTTGCTGTACAATATTTTATATTCCTGTGAGAAAATTTCCTAAGAATGCCCAATTTCATTCACTTGTGAACATGGAAGTTTTACATGGGAAAGCTACAGTGGAACAAAAGTATTGGTATATGTTTTTTTAATCCCAATAAAGGAATGATTAATCTTTTTTTACTGCATTTATTTGAAAATTAACATCCAAATATGTAGTAATTTAAGAATAATAATAGGTGTTATGAAATTCAAGGGTCAAAAAAAAATTGGCACACTGAAAAAAAAAACAAATGGGTTTTAACAAAATTCATTTACAGCTAGAACTTTATCATACAATTTTCGACAGTTGTACTTATATTTCTGGTCTAATTAGGTCTCATTTATCTATAAGAATTTCTAGCTGTCATTTTGCAGGAATAGTTATTGTATATTATGATAAATTACACTTACCTGGTTTATAATTTGTTTATGTGAAATTATGAGAAGTGGAGACCAAAATGAAGGCTCTGGCCTCTCATCTATATCTGCTAGAACCCTTTTAAACCGTAATGACATTGTATCCTTTAGACCATGTAAAAACATTGCTTCAATAATATTACACAAATTACTTGCAGCTTCTAGAACTTCTTCAGGTTTCATTGATCTATTATCATCTAGTCCAGAGTACTGTATTTGTTTAACACTATTGGACAATTCTGTCATAATAGATTGTTTTATAAAGTCATCTTTGCTGGAGTTAGCTGATCTTACGCTCTTCAATAACTTATTCATGATGATGGATGTCCTTCAACTTTCTATCATCTCTAAGCCAAATTCTTTAAAAATGTTAAGCATTGTCAGGTATCCAGCACCTTTTCGTATTACCTTAAATAAGCCTGGTTCTGTTAAATCTACAACAGTAGATGCCCTGTCGTTACTTAATTTACCTCCATCGAAAATGACAGGTATCTGATCCCAAATTGATTTAAATTCCAGAATTTCAGTTGCACTAGGCTCATTGCTCAAGTTTGCACTAGTCAGAGCTATTGGTTTGCCCAAGTGACCAGAAATATGCCTGATGAAGGGATAGTCAGGTATCCTTATACCAATGTTACCTTTCAAGATTAATGATGCATCTAGGTTGTTAGTGCTTTTCAGGACTAATGTGTAAGGGCCTGGCAATAAAGCATGTAGGATTTTGCTGGAAAGATGATGAACTTCAGCCCACAATTCAAGTTCACTTACTTGATTCAAACAAATAGCAAGCGGTTTGTTTTTGTTCCTATTTTTGATACTATATAACTTGTTTATTGCTGATACATTTGTTGCATCGCACGCTAAGCCATAAACAGTATCTGTAGGTACTGCAATAACCGATCCTGATTTCAAGTAACCTACAGCAACGTCTTCTGCTGATGGATCTTTCATATAATTTATGTGAAGAGCCATAGGGTGAATGGGTGCATATGTAACATATGATAAACTATGTTTGAAAACCCTGAATGTCTTTTTAAAAATTATCATTTAGTACACTAGTCGCGCCAGTTATGGTTGCAATCTTTGTTACAGCATCGATAGAAAGTTGTCATCGGTTCATCTGCGGATCTAGTTTGTAGTTGCATAAAATAAGCTTTGTCATGGCCACACTGTGGACAACGTGCTTCTGTCGAATCCACGTTTTTCCAAGCTTCTTCTCCACCTAGCACATCATCAATTTCCTGGAAAAAAGTGAAAATAAGGATTTGGATATCCAATCAGAAAATAAGCATTACCTTAAGTCTGTAGTAATTCCTGTAGGTTATCAATTTATTCACAGGGAAAAATACTGGACAAACGTTACAGATGAATTGCAATTTCCCACCAATATTTTCTTCCACGAATAATATATTTGAACAAAAAGGGCAAAATGCTACCATATTAACACGACAACATTACTATTCACTAAACTGTTATAATGAACAATTATTGCTGCAAGTTTAAATAATATATTTGTAGAATTTGGATCAATCGTATTATCTAAACAGATTACAGATGAATCATATTTCCATAGTCTTTTTCAACATGTGGTCACTTTTGATATTTGCTGATTCCAGCGTTGTCAGAGCCAAAACTAAGAAATTTGCAACACATTATGGTGAAATTCTGCTACAACAACAATGAAAAAATATGTGTTTATGTTCAATGAATACAATGATGACATCAGGGATACGTTTTTAACTTATAGGATTGCCAAATTCACAGCCGTGAATTCTTATAATCTAGATAACTTTCAAAAATCAAGATTCCTGATTTTCTATATTTTATTACGTCACTATTGGATCAGCGGAATTCCGTTACATCTGGCAACGCCGGTAATTCATCTACTCTGAGGTAAAAAGAATATTTCGTAGGCGTCACCTGTCATCGCTGTCAGCTACATGATAGATGTCAAGACGTCACCTCAAAAGTCAAAAATTTGCTGTATACAGCTGATGTGCTGATAAAGATCCTTTTAAAAAATAAATGCACCGGGATGATTTTAATATTATTTTACAATGGTTTCAGCACCAGATAGTGGTATAATTTGGTGAAAGATAGACACGTCTAGGAAATCCAACAAAATTTTATAAACAATGTAATACAGTGAAGGTAAATATAGACACCCCCTTTCTTTTATTCGTATTCTAACAAACAATTTGTATTTTAGGACCTTGTAGAACTCTATATTCTGTAAATAAAGACTATACAGCTGACGTAGTTGTAAGACAAGCTATGTATGACTGCTTTTCTGTGTAGCATAAAGATGCAAGCAAAAAGAAGATACTTGTTGGTATTTGTAGTGGCATTCCTGACATTCTGGTATTTTGGGAGCCACCATTTACGAAGACATGAGGAGCCTCCAGATGAGACAGAAGAGCTACAACAGTATATTTTACTGAATAACGTAGAAACAGGTTATTTATTAAATGGGAGGGAGCATAGCATTATCAATAACAAGAAAAACTGTCGCATGGAAACATGTTTTGACTTCAGCAGGTGCAAAAAGGACTTCAAGGTTTATGTATATCCTCAGGAGGATAGCAGTGTACCTAGTCCGTCCTATCTTAAACTGCTCAACGTTTTATTAGAATCTAGATATTACACTGCAGATCCCAGAGAGGCTTGCATCTTCATCTTGAGTATAGATACACTAGATAGGGATCGACTAAGCAATGATTATGTTAGGAATATGCAAAATAAACTACAACGTTTACCTCATTGGAATGATGGCCTTAACCATGTCATATTCAACTTATATTCTGGCACATGGCCAAATTACACAGAAAATGATCTAGATTTTGACTATGGCAAAGCCATATTAGCCAAAGCCAGTATGTCTGAAAGCCATGTACGGGTAGGTTTTGATATAAGCATTCCACTGTTCCACAAAGTACACCCAACTAAAGGTGGTGAACCTGGTGCAGCATCTGCTAATAACTTTCCTTTAGAGAAAACATACCTACTTGCTTTCAAAGGCAAAAGATATGTCCATGGTATTGGATCAGATACCAGAAATTCACTTTATCATTTGCACAACAGGAAAGACATCATTATGGTAACAACTTGTAGACATGGCAAAAGCTGGAAGGACATGAAAGATGACAGGTGTGATGAAGACAACAAAGAATATGACAAGTAAGTTTTTGTCACTTATTTCCAAAAACTAGAGGCAGTTTAGATTTTCATTTACAAAATTGTAATAGTAGCATAACTAGCAAATCTGTACGAGGGATGTCCTTTAAGTTTTGCTTATGGAAATAAAACAACACAGTAAGTAGTTTTAGTTGACTTTATTGTTTTTCGAAGTATTCTCCATGAAGATTAATACACATCTGCATGTGCTCAAACCAATTTTCGAAGCACTTATTCCACTCATTTGGTGGCAGATCCAAAACGGCATTTTTGAATGCGTCAACTGCTTCTTCTGGTGACTGGAACCTTTGACCACGCAGTCTGTTTTTAATTTTCGGGAAAGTAAAGGAATCGTTAGGACTTAGATCGGGACTATATGGAGGATGGTCCAATAATTCCACGTTTTCTTCCGTTAAATACTGCCTTGTTTTTTGGGCTGTGTGCGAGCTTGTGTTGTCTTGGTGGAGGATGATTCTTCTTTCGGGGATGATTTTTCGAAGCTCGGTGATGACTTTTGGCAAACAAATGGTGGTATACCCATCCGCAGTAACAGTTCTTTGCTCATTAAGAGTAATTGTTGCAATATGACCCGGTTTTGACACAACTGTCACGACCATCTTTTTCGAAGCACTTCGAGAATGGATGACTTTTCTTGGCTTTTCTTCACCTTGGAACACCCAAACAGCCGACTGTCGTTTATTTTCTGGTTCATAACAGTAAATCCACGATTCATCACCACTAACAATGCTGTACACATTTTTTGAGTTTCCGGAATTGAAACGGTCAAGCGTTTTTTTGACACCAATTAACCCTGGCTGCTTTCTGCTCTTCAGTCAACAGGTGGGGTATCCAACGAGAAACTAATTTTCTTACTCCTAATTCTTCATGTAAAATTTTTTGAATTGAGGTCCTTGGGATCTGCAAGGACGCCTCAATCTCGCGATATGTCACATTTCTATCGTCAATGATGAGTTTGCGCATAGCATCGACGTTTTCCTGGGTGACTGCCGTTTTTTGTGCACCCACCCTGGGATCGTCGCTAAGACTCACCCGTCCACGTTTGACTTCTCCATACCAACGGGAAATTGTCGACTGATGTGGCGCTTCGTTGCCGAAAACAGACAGTAACTCAGCAAGGTTGTGATAATTGTCTCTGAAAGTTGTAATAAATTATGGCGCGAAGATTTTATCGGTTGAGTTCCATTTTTCAAATGACTTGGTGACACTTAAAAATTCACTGTAGTGAGAACACTGCACATATTGTTGTGCAACTTTTACAATTTAAGTCTACTAAAGAGTGAGGTTAAGATTCAGTACTGACGTTCGATTCCCGCGGCCTACTATGTTTCTATATGCAAAACTTAAAAGACATCCCTGGTATTTCAAAAGGAAGTATTTAAATTTAATAAATTGAATAATTATATTGAACAATGTGTGCATTCAAAAAAGGTGAACTCAAAAAATTGCTATGAATACCCAAAATGCATAGTGATGTAATTTAAATAGACAAGAATGTAGAATTACAAAAAATTGATTCAAAAAATGAATAATAAAAATAAATTTTCAACAAACAAGAAAAGTACTGATTCTAAAGTTTTCATGACAGTTCTTGAGATTGACTATACCTAAAGCATTTGAATACCTCTCTTAAGGTGAAAAATTTAGAAAAATTTGTCAATATCTAGTAAAGAGGATATTTTTTATTGTTGCTTTTTAGATATGACTATGAAACACTGCTGCAAAATTCCACATTTTGCTTAGTACCCAGAGGAAGAAGATTGGGCTCGTTTAGATTTTTAGAGGTATTGCAAGCAGGCTGTATTCCAGTACTCTTATCAAATAGCTGGGCTCTGCCTTTTTCTGAAGCTATAGATTGGAAGAAATCTGTTATTTGGGCGGATGAACGTCTATTGCTACAGGTAGTGTTTTATTAATTAATCCAGGACTTACATCTCTCAAATTAAAAAATGTTCACGATCGTAATACTTCACTTGGAACATAAAATCTCTTACAATCAACAGGATCACATTGCCACTAGAGTTTTTACATAAATTTGATTCGTGAGTATAACTTCTCGTTATTCAATTGACTCAGAGAGAGAGATACATCATTTTGGGATTAACAAAAGGAACATTTGGTTTTAGGTTCCACATGTAATTCGTTCATTGACACCAAAGAAGATTCTACAGTTGCGCCAGCAAACTCAGGTTTTATGGGACAGATATTTTTCTTCAATAGAAAAAATAGTGTACACTACACTAGAAATAATTCGAGAAAGACTTCCCAAGCAACCGATCAGAGATGGAACCATTTGGAATAACTTTCCTGGAGCTCTAGTCACCCTGTCTACTTATTCAGATTCGTTTTCCGATTTTCCTTTTCATATAGAAAAAGATGAGAGTGTGGGATTCACAGCCATCATTTACTGTCAACTAGGCATACCTTTCACTAGTAGTTCACCGTTGTTTCGCCTTATTAACTATGTTGCGCGAAGTAAATATGTGTCTAAGATTCTAATGGTTTGGTCTAATGAAAAGAGACCGTCGGGTAAAATTAAGTGGCCTGGGTTGCCTTTGCATGTTCCTTTGCATATCATACAACCAAGTGTTAACTCAAATGTCGATAATGAGTTAACTAAATCGAGTATATCTCAAAGATTTTTTACTCATAAAGAAATTGAAACTGAAGCAATATTATCACTAGATGAAGATACAATAATAACCACGGATGAGATAGACTTTGCATTTACAGTCTGGAAACAGTTTCCAGATCGGATAGTAGGATATCCAGGAAGGTCTCACTACTGGGATGATTCCAAGTCAACGTGGGGTTACACGTCAAAATGGACCAACGACTATTCGATAGTCTTAACAGGAGCTGCCTTTTACCACCGTTACTACAACTATCTTTACACAGAGTGGCTAAGTCCACTTTTGCACAAAACCGTAGAACAAAGCCAGAATTGCGAGGATATCCTGATGAATTTTCTAGTGAGTCACGTGACTCGTAGGCCACCAATCAAGGTGACGCAAAGGAAGCAATACAAAGAACAACCCAGCGCAGGAAGCTGGTCTCCCTGGAACGATCCCGATCATTTTATCCAAAGACAAACGTGCCTGAACACATTTGCCGCGGTATTTGGATACATGCCTTTATTGCGGTCAAACCTAAGGCTGGATCCAGTTTTGTTCAAGGACCCCGTTTCTAATAAGAGAAAGAAATATCGAAGAATCGAGTTGGTAGGCAGTTAGTACCTATAGTCAATTTTGATTTTTGTAGATTTATATGTATACATATGTATATGAATGCTGAATTTTTTAGATGTGCAATTATTTATATGATTTATTAAGAAAATATACATACATATATTGAAAGTATAAATACAAAAATAAAAACCTTTTAATGTAGACGTTATCGCTTTTTTCCTATCCTAAACTAGACCTATGACGCATCAGAATTTTTTTATCGTCATATTTTAGTAGTATATAATATTGTTTTCATTGTTTATTTTTTGTATTGGCATTTTCTGGGCTTAGCTTATGCTAAACTTTGCCCAATAAAGACGTTTTATTATTATTATATTCGGATTTAGCCTTAAATCATGTGGGGCCCCTGAGCACTTTGAGCATGCGGCTATATGGAGTCCAGAACAAGGTGAAATACTCTTGAGCATTTTTTTTACACCGAAGCAGCCGCACAGGCGGAAGGGAAAATGCACAGCGGCTGCTATAAGGAGCTAACAGAAACATTATTATTCCGATTTTTGAACTGCCCAAGGTAGAACTGGGAAAAGTTTCCTCATGTAAATTGTTCCACAATCTCGATACCCTAAGGACAAAGGAGCGGTGGTACGAGGTATGTCTTTTAAGTTTTGCATATTGAAATAAAACAGCACGGTAGGTAGTTTTAAATGACTTTATTGTTTTTCGAAGTATTCTCCACGAAGATTAATACACATCTGCATGCGCTCGAACCAATTTTCGAAGCAGTTATTCCACTCGTTTGCTGGCAGATCCAAAACGGCATTTTTGAATGCGTCAATTGCTTCTTCTGGTGACCGGAACCGTTGACCACGCAGTCTTTTTTTTGAATTTTCGGGAAAGTAAAGAAATCGTTAGGACTTAGATCGGGACTATATGGAGGATGGTCCAATAATTCCACGTTTTCTTCCGTTAAATACTGCCTTGTTTTGTGGGCATTGTCTTGGTGGAGAATGATTCTTCTTTTGAGGTTGATTTTTCGAAGCTCGGTGATGACTTTGCTCATTAAGACGAATTGTTGCAATATGACCCGCTTTTGACACAAATATCGCGACCATCTTTTTCTGAACACTTCGAGAACGGATGACTTTTGTTGGATTTTATTCACCTTGGAACACCCAAACACCCGTCTGTCGTTTATTTTCTGGTTCATAACAGTAAATCTACGATTCATCACCACTAACAATGCTGTACACATTTTTTATGTTTCCGGAATTGAAACGGTCAAGCGTTTTTTGACACCAATTAACCCTGGCTGCTTTCTGCTCTTCAGTCAACAGGTGTGGTATCCAACGAGAAACTAATTTTCTTACTCCTATTTCTTCATGTAGAATTTTTTGAATTGAGCTCTTTGAGATCTTCAAGGACGCCGCAATCTCGCGGTATGTCACATGTCTATCTTCAATTATGAGTTTGCGCACAGCATCGACGTTTACCTGAGTGACTGCCGTTTTTGGTGCACCCACCCTGGGATCGTCGCTAAGACTCACCCGTCCACGTTTGAATTCTCCATACCAACGGGAAATTGTCGACTGATGTGGCGCTTCGTTGCCGAAAACAGACAGTAACTCAGCAAGGCATGCTTGTTGCGATAATTGTCTCTGAAAGTTGTAATAAATTATGGCGTGAAAATGTTCTCGGTTGAGTTCCATTTTTCTAATGACTTGGTGACACTTAAAAATTCACTGCAGTGAGAACACTGCACCTATTGTTGTAAAATTTTGAATTTAAGTTTACTAAAGAGTGAGGTTAAGATTCAGTACTGACGTTCGATCCGCCCGGCCTACTATGTTTGTATATGCAAAACTTAAAAGACATCCCTCGTATCGGCCAGTTTTGGGTGTACGAAGTTCGACACAGGATGGGAGGCTGAAGTCAGGCGAGTCTGCCTGGCAGGCAGATTGCGCGGCGGTATCATGAATAAGAGCTCTGAGGAGCAAATCCCATTGGCGTAACAGTAGAAAAGCGCTGATCGTCGACAGCCTGCCGGTGGGAAACGGTTCCGAGACTGTCCATTAGAGAAGAGTCATTGATTAGTCAAACTGCCCTTCTCTGAACAGCATCGAGCATGGATAATGTAGTAGGGGCGGCAGTACCCCAAACGTGTAAGTAGTATTCCAGGCTAGGTCTTATCTGCGCCTTGTGCAGAGTGAGGAGGTCAAATGGAAAAAAGTACTACTTAGCCCTAAACAAATAGCCTAACTTTTTCCCAGCAGCTGCCGCTATTGACGAGATGTGTTCGTGCCTCGGTGATCTGAACCCCGACCAGCCGAAATGAACGGCTCCTTGGCAGAACTCAATATTCTATATATATTTTTTCTTCAAAAACAAGCCATATTTTATAGAAATTTGAAAAAATTAGATCGATTCCTCGCCTTTAGACCCTAAATTAATGATTTCTTCATTTGCTGTAAGCACACCTGACTACCCAGCCCCGAATTAAGTGTACTAAGTTTCATTCGAAGTAACAACAAGGAACGAGAAATGTCGTAATTAGTACTTTCTGAAACCTCATCATTTTTTTGGCAGTTACAAAAATTCGTGTCCTAGGTGAATCCGGTAGAACAAGAACAGGAGGTCCCAGACACCATATTTTCTACCTGAATTCAACTCTACGCCATTCCAGAATTTTTATCTTCGTTTACGATTCAGTGTCCCAAATTACCTAAGTATTCCGAGTTTAGTTTACTCGTAGCCAACAAGGACGTAAATCGAAATTATACACTACAATGCCATATACGCTGCGTATCACCTAGTAATGTATAGTCCGCGAACGAACTAGTTCAATCGAACGATTCTTATGACTGAACTAGTTCGTTCTCTACGAACGATTGGTATTAAGCCGCGTACAGACCGAGATTCCAACGCAAGCCAAGCCACATGTGGTTACAGATTTGGAGGGGCTCGAATCGGTGTGTACGGCGCGAGCCAACATAAGCCAACCAGGTCGGCGTTCGATTGCGTTCGCTCCTTAATCGGTACATCGAAGGGAGGTTTGATTTGGTCTGGACAGGATTTGTTGCGTTTCTAGTATTTAGTCGTTTGTCTGCATTCGATGAGAGGAGACTCGTTGCTCGACATTACAACCGAACTTAACCTAACGCGGTCCAACTCGAAATTAAATTTAGGCGTAGACGAGCGCATTCCAATACCTTCCAACAACAAACGCCAACGTCACATGTGCTTGCATTCGTTTGGTCGGCGTTGGATTTTCGGTCTGTACGCGGCTTTACAGGATCCCGATGGCCGATGATCCAAGCGAACTCAATGTGAGGGAATGAACGAGATGGGAGAAAGACGGAACACAACCGTACACAGAAGGTTGTATAAGTGGTTGCCTGTTAGTTATCACGCAAAAAAGAAATAAAAATTAGCCAACTTAGAACAATACTAAAACGAAAACGTACAAATTTCCGTTTAAAAACAATTTTTTAACTTTATCGGCTTCTGGTCTATTTCTGCTCACAAGACTACTTGCTTAGTATTAGAAACAAGTCGCCTCACCGGGGTAAAAGCGGTTCACCACAAATTATAAACCTGCTGAACTGGTGAAAACAAAAGTGTATTCCATATTATTTGAGAATGTTAGAAAACATGTAAGTCTCATAGCTACTATGTAAGCGACAATTTACGTCGAGAGTTTAAATTTGAAACGTCCATCTTAAAAAAATGAACAACCAAAAAAAATCAATACGAGGTGTTCCGCAGCGGTGATCCATCTAAAAACTACCCGCGCCCGACGGTGCTTAACTCTCGTGATCAGATGAAAGGCTTATGCGATTCTTATTCGTTCGATCTCCAACTAGTTTTAGTGATTGAACTAGTTCACCAAAATGAAAAACTATGTGATCTGGTTGAAAACTTGCTGTTTGGATAAATTGGGTGCGTAGATTCTGAATCAATTTAGCACTGGGACCATTCTGGATTAATTAAAAAAATAGCCAATGAATCTTTGGGAAAACGTTTATTGAGTCTTTAGATGAGATTGATAAAAAGTCTTTCACGCATTATTTAAAACAGTTCTACAACAAAACCATACAAAAAGTCATATAATACTGATACTATTCACATAAATAAATTGTAATATCCTAGGTATTTCGACAGAATTACAATAAATAGAATAAATACAAGCTACTCTTTAACCACACTTATATAGCGCACAGCTTATGAGACAGATAGTACAGATGCGACGTTGTGCAGGCCATTGCAATGATGTTCAGGATAGCGATGGACATGTGAATCTTCCTGAAGCTTTTGTGAATCTTGAGGTAGTGAGGGCAGTTTTTCAATTTTCCTAGGTTGAGCTTTCCTATCTCCGAACCCACGCCAGCGCTTTTTTCTATGGCGATTTTCTCTGACATCAACTCTAGCAAAGGTGGTGTTAGATAGAGACGCACAACCAGTTCAAGCAGGAAGCATATCGACATTCCTAATGCCTGAAACAATAGAAAAATCGGGTTATTTTGTGTTTGACCAAGGCTCTGATCGAAATATATTATGGTTAAAATTTGTATTATGACTAAAAATTATCAGAAATTCGGAAAACATACAAAAAATAGTGTTAACTCTGCACTTCCCACTCAACGCTGTCATCAGTTCAAAGTTAGCTACTCTGAGAAAAAAGTAAGCTACGAAATTCAGTGGATCAAGTCAGCCAAACAGGCCCGTACAATTACCCCCATCCATTTGATAACGCTCCGATCTACATTTTTTCCCCTGCCCAACCGATATTAACTACCGCCTGGCAACGTTGCTGCACCACACCAGTCAACCATGCCATAAGCTAGCGTGAGCATGATCGATCAAGCGTGTTGCCGATTCTTCGGTATTTCTGTAGAAATGTGGCCTTTTCACCGAAAATGCACTCATCTTTTCCCGATTTTTTGAAATAAATCAGATTTTTTAACGAAAAAGAGCTGGAAGCAAAAATAAGGCTAAAAATGGATTCTATGTAGTTGTATACCTCATACTAGTCATACTTATGGGTACACTTAGGCAGCCGAGCACGCCGAGGGATGTAGATTTGGGTTGCCTATAATTATGTAAGCATATCCCCCCGCGGTCATGCTGATTGAATCATGAAAACATTCCGATTTAAAATCTCGATCTCGATATGAATATGCTTTCAAAACTAGTGGCTGCTATTTGAATTTACAAGGTTGACCTCAAAATCACCTCTGACGTCATTGTTTTTGTGAGATCATCGATAAATTGGTTTTCTGATACCCTGAAACTTTTCTTAGGACCTTTTTGCCAAAAGATGCGTGGTTGACATGTTTTGGGGTATTTGGGTATTTAATATTATGCCCTTAGTACCCCAGATGTGATATAAAGCTTTGTGGGTCGTAAAGTTCGACAACTTAACCTGCAGGAAATGTGTGTCCAGCAAAACGGAGCAACCACGTCATACAGCTAGAGAAATGATGAATGGTGTGTAAAGAATATTTTCAGGGCGTTTGATTCCCTTTGGCAAAAAATCCATGTATTTGCGCATGAAAATTCAGAGCTTTTGGCAACCTGCCAATTGAATAAAATACACAAATACAGCATTCCGCACACAACCCGACAACACCGACGCCTTCAAAACACAAATACCGCGCTTATAAATCAAATTCAAGCGGATAACCAAATGGAAATGGTATTTACCATTTTGGCTTGGTATTTACCAATCCGTTCAAGCGAGTGTAGTTATCAGTTTGGTTATAAGATCCGTGACGTCACGAATCAGCTGTTATATGCCATAGTTATCACCGCAAAATTGTGGTATTTACCCAACTCAAGAGTAGTTTTATATTTCTGGTTATTATTTGAAATGTGACAAGTTAGAATTTTGCCGGGTATTGGATATTTTTATTGTACTTCAGCTTCATTTTTGAGAAAATTGATACAGGCTGACTTCAGTTTTACCATAAAGTGGAGCACCTTATTAGTTATACTCATTACGATTGTTGGGGACACTTTAAATGTAGTTCCTATGCTTAACAAAGTATCCTGTGTAGCCATATACCACAAGAATATTAAAATATAGCCATATAAACTCACTAGATGATATCCACCTGTATACGGTTTTGCTAATTTCTTTTTTCATCATTTCTGCTGAATCAATAACATGCGGAAAAATTTAAAGAATTGAAAGTTATCATAGCTACAAAGCCATGGTTCCATCATTAAAAAAAAATCTGAAAAAAACATTTCTCCCATGAATATTATGAAAGGTTTCTTATTTAAACTTTCCATATACAGTTGTAGACGAAAAAGCACCGATTATTAAGTGATAATAAAAATAATCAGAGATTATATACGCGCTTTTCTAAAATAAACAACTTGCAACAAAACCGCGGTTAAGACCAACGCGTTCAAGCGATTCGTGTAACTGACGTCATCAACCCGTGTGTCATCTTGAACCATATTATAACCGCGGCACATAACACAGAAATTTTGGTTATTCGCTTGGATTTGATTATAAATACAAGGTCGCCAAGTGAATTTTGGTATTAGATGCACTCCATGGCCAATTAGAAATCATGTAGTATATAGACAAAAATAGTACACTAAACCTAATGTGATCAAACGATCCTCTCGGTGGATACACCACTATTTTCCAGGCGGAAATCTTTGCGGTTCTGGCTTGTGTATCTCGCATTATGGAGGAGGGTGGGCCTAGGAGAAGAATAACAATCTTATCCGACACCCAGGCTGCAATGAAAGCACTAAGTGCCTGTAAGATTACTTCGAGTCTTGTATTGCAATGCAGGGAGGCTCTGGATTTCCTCGCAGCGAGCATCCGGTATCGTTAATGTGGGTACCGGGGAGACGTGGGTTGCAAGACAACACTCTCAGAAATGTAGAAGTATTTCCAGACATCTCCGCCAGGCACGGGAACTCATTGAAGGGCCCAGTGCTAAGGATGGACGTTTCTGCTTATCTCTGAATAGAGCCAACCTAAAGTTGCTGATGGAACTGTTGTCTGGCCATAACACGTTAAGGCGTCACCTGCACGTGATGGGGGTGGCTGAGGATCCCTTGTGTGAATGCTGCGGGGTAGAGGAAGAGACCTCGGCGCACGTTTTGTGTCGCTGTGAAGCTCTGAGCTACTATAGGCAGACTATACTGGGGTCCATTACTTTGGACCCTCAGGACGCCAAGGAGCTTGGACTCAAGGCGATTCTCAACTTCGCTAAAAGGGCGAGGCTTGTGATCTAAGGAATGTAGAGGTGCATAAGGGCCCGCTTAAGCGGCCTATGCACTGGCTCCTTATGGTGGCCGGAATACCTCTAATTTCACGATTCATTCGTTCATTCAATGTGATCAAAAGCATAGGTACAGATGATATAATTTACTCCATGATTATATACATAACATTCATACATAAATAAAGTGAAGTAAGTTAGGTAGTACATGAAAGTTTTGGTAGACGACTTTTGTTGGCATAAGTTGATAGGCAAAATCTTAAAATGTAAGTGGCACCTCAAGACGCGGCACCATCGTAACACATTTTGCCGATGTACAAAGGAAGCATACGTGCACCGTTTTCTCCAGTCAGCTGCGGCGCGGATAACGGAAAGGAGGTGAGTTGGGAACTGTTGACAATTCACGAATTGTAAAAGATGGATCACCACGCAATAGATAGTCTACCCCATAAACGGCAGAGCAACCAGTAAGAGATATCGTTCAACTTTGTAGCGATATGACAAAGGTATCAGTATCTATCATTTTCAGAATTACAAGGGAAAAAACATAATGTGTGTTCGGTGGTAGCAAAAAAGCAAAGACAGGGACGTAAACGAGCGATTTTAAATAAGTATGTCAAATACGCAACCCGGCTGAAGGTGCACTTGTTTTATTTGAGAAAAGAAATACCAACAATAAAAAAACTACAGCACGCTTTGAATACTGACGACAGTCTACCAAAAATATCCCAGCGTGTTTTGCCAAGAACTTTACGAGATAATTAATATCAGACATTTGTAGAAGAAGGGGAATAGCGCATTGAGGGATAACATAATAACCTGGCGCAGCGAATATTTGAAAACAATACGTGGTATTCGCGTAATGGGAAGACAGGAGATTTATTATTTGGATGAGACATGATTGAATGAAGGTCATTCAGTTTCTAAAGGTAAGATCTAAGCAACACATCCCGTAGACAAGCGTATCGTGATGGATTATTTACAGGTTTTCACCGCCGTACAAGTAAGGGTCGTCGTTTAATTATTACTCATATTGGTAGCGATTCTGGCTTTGTCGTTGGAGGATTGAGCGTATTCGAATCACGAAGAAGTGGAGATTATCATAAAGGTATGAACACACAAGTTTTTGAAGATTGGTTCAAAGCAGTGTTACGAAAATTAGAACCCGATTCTGTGATTGCCCTAGATAACGCTTCATATCACAGTCGACGTACAGAATATCTTCCCACTCTAAAATGGAGAAAGTTAAAAATGAATAATTGGCTAGTGTCAACAAATCTACCATGCGTATCAATGCTCAAAGCAGATTTGATGCAAACGACTCGTCAGCACAAGGGAAGGTACACGAAATGAGTACCTCCACTGCGAATTCAACACAATCGAGTCGATATGGGCTCAAATAAAAAACGAGGTAGCGTGTAAGAATAGTACTTTTAAGATGGCGGATGTTCGTATTCTTTTGGAACGGTCATTAAGGGTGTAACTGGCGACACGTGGCAGAATTGCATAAGGCATGTAGTCAAAGAAGAGGAAGAGTTCTGGCAACTGGACCATTCCATAGAGCGGATAATTGAACCAGTGATAATTAACTTAAATGACGACAATTGTTCAATTGAATATTCATTTATTAATTTATATATTTATATTTGCACCTATTTACGTTATATATTATCCATAGTCGTTTTATGTTTGTTTTTAATTTTTGAATAATAAATACTTATCGTTTATTTTTTTTGCGTCTTTCAGTTTCAGAACTTTTTATTTTTGTGATTTGTATTTTTAAGTTATATAAATTATTCATATTTATTTTTCATTTTATTGAAACTGGAAGACGGCTGGAGGGAGGGACGGGAATCGATATGCAGCCACATCCCCGTGGTGAGTCCTGGGCAGCCCGAACATGGGCTAGCTGAGAGCTGCATTAAAGTTCTGACAAATTAGTTCATTTTTTCTTATATTAATCAGTTACAGGTCGCTGCTCTAGCTATTTCTGTTTAATGATATGTGTTGCAAAATGTCGAGGTAAATTTTACGTTTTAATCCTTTCCGAAGTGGAAATCGTCGCGCCACTGTGGGCGGATTTTCTTCAAAGAAGTCGGCAGTATTCCCCGCATTCCATTGCTGTCAACAGTTTTGGTAACGGGCTTTAACACTGTACATTATAGAGTAACTAGAAGCAATATTCAGAAAGCTATTTAAATTATATTATCATTTTTCATACGTAACTCCAAATTTTCAGTAAAAGATTCAGATAAAAATTGTACGTATTCTATTTCATATTGAAAGTTCTATTAGAGAAACAAACCACTTATATGTTGACCAATTTTCAAAATCAACGTAATTGGAAGCCACATGTAAAAAGCGATAAGTAATAATGTTTGAAATTGTTGCAAATCGTCCAATTATATCCCCGAGTAGGAAACAATAGGTCAAATTACTAATTCAAATAGAATAGTTTCCAAGGTCAAGGTTCTCGATACTGATTATTATACACCTTCATTATGTAAAAACGACAATTAGTTATGGTTTCAAGAATAACCGGAGCATTAATTATCGATTTGAATTGTTGGCGATTAAGGATATAACTACTTAACTAAAACACATTTATTTGTTATCTATTTCATATCAATATATGTTTGATAAAATACATAATCGAAAATTTACATTTATTTTATTACAATTCGAGTATTGTACTTTTTGTCAATTGCAAGTGGCTTGGAATTACGCTAACCAGTAACGAGAAATCAGAACGGTTTTGGGACAGTTCCTTGTAGAACCCATTAAATACTAACCTGGATAGTGTTCTCTACAGTCTTGAGTTCTGCGTTCTTCGTTCGAAGAAATATCGCTAGAGTGATGAGACTCAATGTAGCGTTCAAGAGAAAGTATTTTGGAAACAATACTTGCTGAACGCTCCCAAACGTATGTCTGGGCAGGCTGAAGTATAGAGCCAATCCAGATATGAAAGTCATCCAAATCTGAGCCCCCAAATGTGCACTGAAGGAACCAAGATACACTAATGTCCATACTGGTGATATCGTACTCTTAGTCTTGCTTGGAAATAGTAGGTAGAGTAGGCAGAGTACTGAGAATGCTGTGATGAGATGTGCTGGCTGTGTAGTACGGAACAGGACTCTGGAACAAAATGGAAGGTTTTAAAAATCAGCAGACGAAGGAACATTTTTTTTTTAAGCGCAATATATGTTTTGTGAAATATATCTAATGGGTGAATACAATTATCGGTGTTGGAAAAGTTGGACAAATTTTTACTGGAAAGCTGTTGAAATGCTGAAGCATCGTCTAAACAACAGCAGTGAGGTTACAGATTACAGAAGAAAGGAGTTGGCTTGCCAGCCTTAACGTCACAGCGGCCCAAGTGCATCTCATCTATTGTGACCCCCTTATATACTTTCTAAAGCACTGTGTCCATCCTTGATCCTTTGATCAGACTCTATAGCCTTGACACAGAGCCTTGCATGCAGCTTCCCGCTGTTGCACCTGTGGTTCCTACTATCTGAAACCGTAGCCTTGCCAGGCCTTTACAGTGACACAGGAGATAAGAGACCCAAGAGTCTCATCTATCAGGAAACTCACTATGGCCCTTATGGGATTCCTATTGAATCCGACTAGGTCCTCTGTAAGTGCGGGCCTCCGTTCTTTGATGAACTGTCTTGTCTGACTTTCCCCAATTCGGCTGTTCCACCATTCTATGGACTTTTTCTTGGTCCAATTTCTTATGGACTATTTAGTGCGTGTTCTCGTCACGCCACAGAAAGGCCCTGGGCCTATAAGGCGATTGGCCGCACCCTGTCGGGCTAGCTCGTCCGCCTTTTCATTTCCTTCGTGCCCTTCATCTCCTAGTACCCAATGTTATCTTGTTTCGGTTTCCCAGCTCTTTATGCCGTCTGTCGCTGATCCAGCATTGATGTGAGAAGTGATTGAGTAAACAAATCTAACGTAGAAATTAAATGTGCGTGGTCTGTAAATTAAGTAATGAGACTGGCAACGTAGCATTCGACCTAACACTGAAGATGCCGGACTTGGAGGAGAGACAGGGGAACATGTGATACGCTTTCAGTGCAAATTTGAACCCGCTCGAGTCATTTGGTTGTCCGTTGCGATTTTTTTGGGACCCAGTTTTTCCTATTGAGTTCTAAAAATGAACGACATCAATCTCGAGCAACTGTGTACTATCAGTTTTTGCTTTAGACAGCTTTCGGTGGTTTAAGGCATTTGTCGCTTAAAGATGAGCCACGAAGCGGAAGCCTTCTTCAAAAAACGATGACGATATTGCCAGACTCCGGCAACTTGTGCGTCCAGATCGCCGGTTGACAGTCAGAATGATAGGGGAAGAGTTAGATTTGACCCGCAACACCGTTCATCAGATCAAGAAAATCTGGGTGTTGCGTCACGATGATGCTCCTTGACACACAGCAATGTCAATAAACGAGTTTTTGGCCAGTAAAAACATTCTTGTGGCTCCTCAGCCCCTCATTCGCCTGATTTGAGTCCTTGTGACTTTTTCCTCTTACCGAAGTTGAAAAATCTCCTCAAGGAAAGTCATTTTGGGGCAGTTGAAAACATTCATACGGCTGTAACCGACCAGCTGGAGTGCCAATAGAAAATTGTAATTATATTTGAATAGAAACAAAAAAGAAAATCTATCTCATCGCTTAATTTACAGTTTCTCTTGTAGAATGAGAAGTAAAATAATTCAAAATTTCCCTCAAACGTAAATATCGCATCTCCCTTATACAACTTTTTGCAACGCTATAACAGGACACTGGCTGACATACTTAAAAGGAATTTATACGTGTCTCAAAATAAAAAATAAGCGAAATTGCTAAATCACCTTCGTGCAAGATATCAAATTTATGAATATGCGTAAGAGTTGATTATGACATAAATTATGATTTCCTGTACGTGGCTTTGCATATATAAAGGACAAACCAAAAGTTTATTGGTTTTAGCAGGGAGAAATTTCATAGTTTTACGGTAGCTGTTAGATCTTATATACTCATAAAATTGACTACACGTATATCATGATACACGGAAGGGAATATCAGCCATACTTCCGTGGTAAGCTTAAATGGTCTCTCTGCATAGCTACTCAATTCAGTTTTTAGGTTTTTATAAGTATGGTATGATGGAGTAGCCAAGCACTAAACCTGTATAGACAGGTTTAGTTATAGATCTATCTGTATAATACCAATAAAATGAAGACAAATACTTCAAAGACTACCTCAGAAACTGCAGTTTACCGTTTTTCGTTCAAAAAACACCGAAATGATCCTGTTTGTCGATTTTGTTGGTAAAAGTTATGCCATTTGGATACATCGGTATACATCAACTTAACATACAAATCATGTCGTATTGGTTTTATTTCAGAACTATTAGAGGCCTCATAAAATTGCAATACATCCTTGGAAGCGCTTATTGCGAACCGAACGTAAAAAGCCAGAAGAATCCGTTAATGATGATGGAAAAGATTCCTTACGTCATTAATGCCTACATGGGCGCACATCCAAGACTTCCTAAGAGGCTAGTAGCAGTTGTAATGGCGAATCATGACATCTATACCCCACGTGACTTTATATTCTTTAAACAGATTATTTCTGCCATAAAACCGCGATACATGGTACATTATTCCAGTCACTTTCAGTCCTTTTTGCTAAATCCTTATCGACTAAGATGACATGACTTCATCCTTTTTTAAACTCCCATGTGCAGGATATATCTGCCATAAAACCGCGATAATCGGTGCATCATTCTAGGATGAGGTAAATCCTTCTGGTCTTCTTCTCAGTACATAGAGCAGATGGGGGTCTTCTGGGGACCCGCTATTTTCTGAGGCGTTTACATCGATATTCATAATTCATACTTATCGAATTCTGAGCGAGACGTGAAAGTTGTCCAACAGCATCGTAGGCGTTGGGCTAGGAGGCCCGGAATCTGAATTATCTGAATTCAAATAGACACCCCATCTCTAGCCGACAAAGAAGCAGAAGAAAGAAGAGTTTCAATTTTATATTTTACAGACTTTATATTAGCAAGGGCAACAGTATACAGTATACATTCGTCTAAACCAGATAAAGTGGTTTAAAATGATTTTAATCCAGAAACATATCTATTTACCTCGAAGGAGGACATGCGGATTAGGTGCAGCAGCAAAAACATGTGATATGAAATATATACTAAGTGACACATAAAATGCAACATCCAGAATTATTTATTGAATTTTGATAAACATATTTGCTGTCATGCTGTCCGGCGAGGTAGCATGACTGCCCAGCGCTATATCCACAAAGTTTTACAACCACATCTCACAGTGATTCCCCTTCCATACTAGGGCGGCCATAAATACACAACTTAGATTTAACCTTTTTCATTGTATTTTAAACCTTAGAATACAGTTGTACAAACATGAAAATACAACTTATAAAATTCTTTTTTAGAAAAAAAAATACTAAGCAGGTACTAAAAATGTTTCTCAGTATTTTTGTTTTAGATATTGTTTTAGATCAACCTTATATTAAAGAAATAAAATGAAACAGTCCATAATAAGGGCAAACAAGATATATTGAAAAAAATTATAAACTCTAATACTTATAATATATTATAATGGAAACAATTAACTAAAAGCCAACACAGATTTCGACAATATGTCTATTTTTTAACAGGTAACTTTCTTAAGCCCGAAATCAAGGGATCCGAATGAAGAGGAAGCTGATTCATTAAATCGGTATTGGTCAAAACGCGGCTCATTTTTTGTGTATGTTCTCGTCGAAATTCAGCCGCACCTTCTGATACCTCCCCAATTGACAACAAAGCGTGATCTAACATCACCACCATGAATTGCTCAATGCATCGCGGTATATCAATATTTTCAACTACATTTAGCCAATCCGAATACTTTTCTCCCAATATAGATTTAGATCGATTCGACTTTACCCAGTAATGTGAACTTCGTTTACATAAATTTCTAATTCTATCACTTAATCTCCCTAAGTCAACATTTTAGATGTTATCTGAAAGATACGACGTTTCAGTCAACGTGTCGAGGATATAGTGCCAAATATCAAAAATAGTCCTCGAAACAAAATACTTAAAAAAATTACCTAAAACAACAACAAAATTGGATTTGGAAAACACCTTTTTTTCTGTACTATGAACATATACTTTGAAGTTGAGTCATTAATTTTCAGATAATGATTGTAGAAGGAAGATAAACCAAAATATGTGTGTAAAAATGAAAAAAAAATGTTACCTTGTTTTATAAAGTATCCTCCCGACAAGTATTTCAGTGCGGATCTGTATTTGATCGTGCGGTCTTGGAGCACCGGCATGCCCTCCCCTGTGAGGTCTTAAGTCACCTGATTCACGAGCCCTTTGTACTACATTAACAAAGGCACGAGGGGTTGGTTGCACTCGATTGGTAAACCGATCCGCATAAATCCGTGATGCCGCGACAGCATTTTGTAAAGACTCCCCCCCCGTAAATAAGAATCATGTCCAGAAGTTCAGCATTTTCGTAAACGTGTGCCATTTTTTATTTCGTTTGAGCCACGCAACAAACACCACTATTCACTCACGCGTTACCGACTGACACATTGACTGAATACAACTGAATAAAATTGTAGTAAAAACATCGTGATAAGCGTTTCAAATTCTTTCGCTTTTTTGTTTCCGATGCGATGAACCGATCAGGCGGACTATATCCGTTGTTGCCAAACACGAGCACATAATATTATTATTGAGACAGGGCGGTACTCAAACTTCTAAAGGGCTATAACTTTGTTACTTTAATTTTACCAGAAAAATGTTAAAGGAAAAAAACATTTCTTTTGATCAGATCGACTCAGTGTTAAAATAAATGACTCAACTTCGAAGTATATATATATGGTTCGGCACCTCACAAACTTAAGAAGGGGCAGCAAGATGCAGATGAAACCTGTATGCCCCTAATCTAGACAGTCTCTACTTTAAGATAACATTTATCTCAGCTGCAACAAGGCGAAGCAAAAAGTTTATATCCCTAAATTAATTAATTTTGTAGGAAAAAATCTAGCAAAAACAACTTTCAATCAAAAATTTATATAAAACTCCGAAACGCATGTTTGCACCTCCATATTATCACTATGTGAAAACACTAGGCTTGAAATTATAATCCACAAAAAAAAATAAGTAAGTTACAATGACTTACACGTCCCGGTAATTGGACTTGTCACTTGCGATCGACGAAAGTAAATGACAGTTTGAACTTTGATTGTTATTCATATTTTTTAAAAGCTTTGCGCCTACTTGATAACTTAGCCACTCATGTGGCACGTGTTAGTTTAGACTTTTTAGACGCGTCCGGAGTAAATCTGCTTTAGTGGCCTCCTCGATCTCCAGATCTTTTCCCCATGGAACACCAAGACGACATCAATCACCTGATCCAATCACTGCTGCGACGACTTAACGAATGTGTAGCGAACAGAGGAGCTTCAATACATTATAAACATTAAGGTGGGATATTTTGCGAAATTTCAAGTTAAAGTTTTAATCACTTTCTATTTGTCAGTAGACCTAAAACATGTAAAATTGTGCTCCAAATTACGGCACTCCTAGTCGGTGTTGCATTTTCTATGTCATTAGGTATAATTGACGAGTTTGTTGAAAACTTTACGTAATTAGCTACCGATATACTATTTTTTCCAATTTTCTCAGGTGTTTATGTTTGTTTTGAATTTGGTTCTATCATCTACAGAGTTTATGATACTTGTTTCCGACTCGCCAATTTACGATGCAGTTTTACGAAAATGCTTTCTAATTGGTCCGGATCGTAGGATTTGATCTCCGCATCAAGTAGAAAAATATTTTTTTTTTTTAGCTAAACCAGATGATGTATAAAGAATTTTTTGATTTAATATGGGGAATGCCTTTCTTACACAACTCGTATATTTTTTTCGTAGTTTGACAGTTATTTTAGAAGAAATCTACTATATTTATTTGAACCATTACTAGAAAGACGCATTTTCGTTGGTTGATTAAAATTCGAATCAAGAGTAAAATCGGGCCTGAGCGATTTTATAAAACTTTACTTTTTGTTATTTTGAAGTTTTGATCATCATAAAATCGCCTTTTTCGATGCGCCCATGCATGATTGTTCAAGAACCTGTTTAAATACACTGTGTCTGGAAGCATCTAGTTAAGTCGTTCCGAAAATTCGTTTTTTACCAGGCTGGCATCAAGGTAATGACCGAACTAAAGTGGAAGATTGCACTTGGCAACATTGCTTCGCAATTCTGAATACCCAGCCTACAAAAAGGTACTAAGTATGCTGTGATGTTGCTTTTTGATCCTACGTTACAGTCCCGTATTCTGTACGGCATTCAGGCCCTACTCGTATTGGCCCTCTTGTAAGTCTTTCTGATCTGAGAAATCCTCAAGGTTCAGTCATATACGTAGTTTACCTTACATTTGTCCTACAAAGCCAACGCTATCCCAGAATGGAAGAATGGTTTCTGATATTCACACAGACAGTCGGGCATGATAAATTATATAAACCATGTTTCGTCACGTCCGGTGTACCTCAGGGTTCCGTTCTTGGCCCCAAACTTTTTTTAGTTTATACATCAGATATCCATTTTTCCGTTTCTCGTCTATTGTAGCATACGCTGATGATACTCAATTATTTAAGTCTTTCCCGCCATCTACTGTTTCAGAAGCAGTTTGGGATATTAATGATAATCTCCATAAAATACTAATTTACTCTAATAACAATAATTTGAAATTAAATTCTTCTATATGTTGTGTTATGCTTTCTCGTTAAAATAATAGCCGTGAAAGCCTGACACAGGAGCTGAATATAAATATTGGTTGCCATTAGTGGATACTGCAAAAAATTCAGGGTTGATTTTTGACAGATTCCTGTGCTTCAAGGTTTCAATTACTCTGAAAAAATGCTACTAGGTGTCAAGGATGAGTTTTAAAACGCGGAAAAAACTATGTGATTCTCTTGTATGTTCTATTTTTGCTTGTAATGCTGTTTCTATCCATGCCGAGATGCCGCCAGGAAAAATATGTTACAAAAGTTTCAAAATAGTTGTAGATTCATTTATAATCTGAAAAAGTACGATTCAACTTCAGCAAAAATATTTGGGGTAAAGTGGTTATGCATAGAAGACATGTGGCTACCATGACACACCAGCGTGCCCCCCCTAGATGTCTGACACTTGCTTTTGTAATATAACACCATTGTGTTACTTTCTGACACATCATGGCGACAGAGGCATACTAACTATAAGTTATAGCTATAGAAACTGAACATTGCGATTTTTTGGTATCCTTTGGTACTCCAAATGCTGTCACTCTTCGACATCACTTACGTTTACAGCACAATTCTTACGATTTATACGTATGTATATATGTACGAGTATTGTGACTTGTGACAAATCTAAGTCTATTAGCTACACAGATTGCACTTAAAAAGTGATTTATGTTCTGTTTGTTGCTCAATATTAATTTGAAAAGTGTGTAAAGCTTGACTGATTCTTTTCGGGGTTGGTGTTGCAGCGAAGCACTATGTTAGATGAACGACTAAATTGGAAATAGACATTTATGCGATTTGTTTAGCGGTGCGCCTGTGGCCTGTCCAGAAAATGCGTCGATCAATGCTCAGTCATTACCACTCGTCCCGCGTATGTGTCTATTTATGTTGCTATATTGAATTCGTTTAAATCACAGAGCTTCTGCACCTCACGTCAATATGTACAGCCCTGTATTCCTGTTCTTGTTTCGTACAAACATACATTATCAAAATAATTACGATCTAACAGATATAGTTTTTTCCAAAGATTTCTAACATTTTTACATGCGATCAACACCGATTCGAAAACTGGGAAAACAA